GATTCTGGACAGATGGATGAGCACACTCACTTCCCACCCACAAAGCAGCAGTGCACACACTCTGCTTGCGACAGAGATTGCTTGCTCCCGAAAGAGCATATATATATATATATATATATTGTTTAGATTCGGTCTGTTTTTTCGACACAAAACACGAGAACTTAGGGGTCTTTATGAGTACTCTATCTATAACAGTCAACTTACGGGTTTTCGGTTATCTCTGGGGGTTTTGTATTTATTTATTTATTTTGGGCAGAGAAATCAGGTTTTGATGTGCTTCAAAAGAAAAAAAAAAAAGAAAAAAAAGAAAAAAAAAAAAAAATCTACAGTGGTTTAATTGATAAAAATTAACAAAGTAGTTTTTGCATTTGATCCCTGAACCAAGGTGTAGACTTGGGCAAAACCATCCATAAAAACACATTAAACCACCACCTCCATCACACTATATTACCAACTTCATCCTTGTAAAGTTTGCCAATCATTGGTGAGCTTGGAATAGACTTGGAATCTTTCTACAATCTTAAAAGTGGTTTTAGATTTGCGCAAGGTAGTTTTTGATAAAATATATAGGTTGGTTAAAGGATGTGACACAATTTAAGGTATTTTGATGTTACTTATGATGGGAGAAGGTGAGCTACCACAACTTTTAAATATTTTTTATTCCTTTTGTTGAGTGGAATGTAAAGGTTTATTTTAATTCTACTTAATTACAAAACTTTAAAATTGTAGTCTCTCATATTATTCACTATGAAGATTTCTTAATTTTAAAAAGTACTAAAACAATTAAACATTCCCAAGTCTAATATTTCTATTTAGGAATAGATTTAGAGGAATTAGATTATTCCACTTATATACCATTTTACATGAGTTCTATAACTATTCTTTATGTAATATATGTAAAATTAGATTGCAACAAAGGACTTTAGGAATTTAGAGAATTTTATGTCTTTTTAAAAGCTTAAGGTGTTTTTAGCTTGGAGTAATCTTTTCCACTATGTAAAATATTTATATTGGTTTTTTTTAACATAAAATAAAATCCTAATATATTTTTACAACATTTGTTTATGATCATTGGATTGTAAAATTAAATGAGTGGTCTTATATGTTTATAAACTCAAATTTATTTTTTAAAGATTTAGACATTCTTTTAAGTCCAAACAATTTATAAGCATATTTCTTTAAGTAAGCTCTACAATATTTTAAGATTTTGAAATTAAAAAGAATAGTTGTTATGGAAAAATTTCTTGTTTTTATAAACTTTTATTTCTAAGTATTCTTCATTTTTGTTTAAATTTTAACTTTTGGCCTTTTGGATATTATTCTCTAATCTTAATTTAACTAAATTTTATTTATGTTATTTCTTGTAGAATCCTAAATTTTTGTGGATTGCTTTAAGATAATATTTGTATTTTCTTAATTATTCTATTATTTATTTATTTATTTATATTTTAGATCATTGAATTCTTAGAATTTTTTAAATATTTATTAAAATATTATAAAATATATTAATAGAATATATTTTTAAAAAATATTAAAAATAAATTATTATTGTTTTTTATCTAAATTATTGAATCTTTGAACTAACAAAACTTCATGTTATATGTTGGTTATTTTTATAAAGCAAATAAAGATTAAAAAACAATTTACATAATTAGTTTTTTTCTATTAAGTTATATTTCTTTCAATTTAAGAGATTTGTACTTTTTAAAGTTATAAGTATCTTACTTAAATTAAACCTATCTATTCATATCAATACTTTACATATATAAAATTAAGAAGATCAAAATTATTAATCTAACATAGTTATATTGACTAATAAAAAACTCTATTTTAAAATAAAGAGATATTTAGGAGAAGAATGTAGAAAATAATTAAAAAAATATATCACATTCATATTTTATTAGAAAAAAAAGAAATATAAAAAAGATATGTAATTATATAATATAAAAATCTATAATGACTATTTTTAAATACTAAAATAAAATCTTAAGAATCTTAAACCAACTTTAAATACAAGAAAGACATAGATGAAGATAATTATAGCTTTTGCATCTATATATACTAGTAATGAAGAAAGTATTGAGAAATATTTTTGAAAATGACACAATTTATGATTTAAGTTGGAGGTCATTTTTATAATAGCTTCTTACAGGTAAGATGAAACAAGACTAGATTGTTTAAGGTCTAAAACCTTACCAACTCCATAACAACAAAGATCTTGATACAATGTAAGACCACGCACATTAGAACAAAACTGAAAGTAACTAAACAAAATAAAACATGAAGTTCAGAATTGAGTAAAAGATAATATAACCAAATATAATCAAACAGAATGGAACCAAATAAAAATTAAAATAAAATTAGAATATATATTTTTTAAAATTTGAAGATAAAAAAAATCTATAATATAATTAATTTTATACTTGAATATTTTTAAATTTTTCATTAGATATAATGTTTCTCAAGCTAATAGCTTAGTTTTTATTGTTACCAGTTCTATTATTTTGAATTGTGGCCCCTTCACTTAATTTTTTTTGTATTTGTACTAATATTTATAATAGATTTTTAAATCTTTTACACATGATTAATTATTGGTCTTGGTTGATTGCATCAGTATTTTCCAATTGTATTGTCGTAATTTTTTATTTTATTTTTTATATTATTAATACTTCTAAATTATCAAAAATACATGTTTATATTTATTAATTTAGTTAACATCTTAAAGTTAGTATATGATCAATCTTAATTATGATTCTCCAATCTAGATGTTTAAATTTTATTTGTATATTTGAATTTATGATGAAGTTATGTATTTTAAATTGGCATTCTAAGAAAAAAAATATTATTTATTATTTCTTACATCTTAATTTTTTTAGATTCTTTTATTCAATATTATCAACCAAATGTTATATTTTTTTATTATATTTTGACTTTTTCTATTTTCTTCTCTAATCTTATGTATTTATTTCTTTGATTTTTTTATTTTAAATGTTTTGATTTTAGAATCATATAATTAAATCTTAGAAAAAAAAATCATACTTAATTAAATATATATATATATATATATATATATATATAATGATATTTAAATTTCATATACATAAATTTAGGTTTTTATTCAAATTTAGTGTGATATATGTTTTAGCTTACTGTAATGATTTTTATCTTATCTTTTATTTAAAATCAGTTTCTTGATATAAAAAACCTATTAAAAAATTAACTTATCAATTTAATAAATATATCAATTTTATTCATATTTAATGCTCAATAAATATTATTTTTTTTATTTTCTTTTAAATTAGTACTTGATTTTCATCAAAATTCAGATGTTTAATTTTAAAAGTGCACTAATATGCTATAATACTAAATAATGCATTTTTTTTTTTTTTTTAAACTTCTTCAAAGTCAACCATTAAAATATTTAAAATTTTAATACAAATATAATTACATACACACACATAAACACACACACATACACACACACATACACACATACACACACACACACACACACATATATATATATATATATATATATATATATCTTACCAAAATATTTTTTTTTATCAAAAATAGATTAGAATTTGCATCAATTTTTTGAAATTGAGTATTTTTCATAAATCTAACTATAAAAGCATATATATGAAACTTTTTCTTTTAGGCTTAACTAATTTGAATACAAAAAAATTACCTTGTTTTGCATATTAGAAACTTTAATTACTAATTTTATTTTTTGTTTTTTACAATATTCAACTAAAAGTACTATATATTATTCAAAATTTATTAATTAATGTAGTTAGAAGTTGCTATTCTCATGAAGCTTTAATCTTACTTTGCCTCAATTATAGAATATTTAATTCTAATATCTTATTTATTAATGTTTATTTATTTATTTATAATTACACTTATTATGAATCACAAAAGCCCTCTAGTAAATTTAGCTATAAGTTTATGCTATAAGCACAATCATAATCATGCAATATCCAAAAATCTAAACAATTTCTAAAGTAATTTTGAAAAACTTGAAGTTCATATTTTTTTTCTCTATAGTCCAATTTTATAATTTATAACATATATTTGGAATACAAGTTGTTGAACTTTATATAAGTCCAAAGGCTAGCTTTGAATATTAAAAAGATTCAAAATTTTAAAAATCACTAGTATGTAAAATTTGTCTTCGAGGACAAACTTTTAAACAGAAGTTTATTCACAATATTCACTTTTTTTATACATAAATAAATTACAAATCTTATTAAAGTAATCATAAAAATAGTAAAAACATAAAAAAAATTCAAAAAGGACTATAAATATTGACTAAAAAATAATCAAATAATTAAATTTATTTATTTTTATCCCAAACCAAACACATGAATTATTCTAAAGTATTTATACGACATTCTATACATTTGATTCAATTAGAACCTAATCCAACTAGATAATATATTAAATAAGTCAACTTGGGTATAACACAAAGAGACAAAGAAGTCTTTTGATTGGCAGTGAAGAAAGAAACTCAAAAAAGAGCAATTTGTATAAGTGTTTGCAGAGATATGTATATACACAAGCAAAAATCTATGCTATTGGGCATTGCAGTCTTTTGCACATCCATCAATTTCTTTGTTCATCCATGCTCCCATTATTTGTATGCACAAATAGTTATTGGTTCCTTGGTTTGCAATCTATAGATTCCATTGACGAGAGGAGACGCCAGGAGGCGGCAGTCGCCGATGATGGAGGCCAGCCACCGCCAAAGCCAGCCCATTAAGTAGTAGGAAAGTGGGCGAGGAGGCGGAGGAGGAGGAGGAGGAAGTGGGTGACATCGATATGGGATCATCGGCATCGACATCCCCGTAAGCTCGGATTCAACTCGGAAGCCCATCCCACTAATATTAGCACTCACACCGCGTGATTTTTGGCAGGTACGCGCCGCTGTCCCCGCATCGACTCATGTTTCCAGTAGTAAATGTGGGTGGACTCGTCCCGAACCAGCTCCCGAACGGAGTTCGCCATCGCGGGATGGACATAGTGTTTCGATGTTGTCTCCGGTGCGTGCACCAACAGCGCGAAGCATTCTTAGTTTAGAATATCAATCACATTGTTCGTATGCAAGTGGACCCTCTCGTCCGTCCCTTTTTTCCATCTCCCCTATCGCCTGGTCTCGTCTGTTCTTGCTTGTGCTGGTTCAGGCCTACATGATTGGCGTGGCAGGTTTCAACTCCCGAGGACTTATAGTACTCTCCTGGGAATCACACGGGTTTTTTGAAGATAGCTGGCTGGCTGCAATGTGTGCTTGTCAACCCTTAGATTGGTTCAAAAAACTGAAGAGCTTTCGCGGACCTTCGTAGTGAACCTTCTAGTTTAGATTCAGTCTTGTTAAGTTCCGCATTGATTTTTGCCTTTTCCTGGAGAAGATTAAGGAATGCCCGTGCTTCTGCAGGATTAGTTGTGTGATGCGGGAGATTTCAGCATATCTTGGTAGCGCTTGAAGGAACCTTTGCAACCATGCCAGAGCCTACTCGGCCAGCTTTACATCGTACTTTCTCTGCTGCCTTGACATTTTGTAGAGCGCAACCTACTTGAACAGATTGCGCCGCAAAGCTGGCCTCCAGTTTGTTCTTCGGTTGTGTGTGTGCCCCTCTTCCCCCTTAACTTCGACAGATATTCTCCGGGATACGCATTTGGAGAGTCTGGTAGAAATGTATAGCTCCAGGTCGTGGAAAATAGAGAAGCCTAGGACTCCCAGGCCCGGCGGCATTCCGCAAGGGTCCGTCCTGGTGGTGCTGGATGTCACCAAGGAGGTCAGTACTGCTCCTGTGTACTGGGCGCTAGGCAATGTCGTCCGCCATGGGGACAATTTCAAGATACTTGGAATCATGACCCATTTGTGCAATCCCATGGGATTCCGCGTACGGGTGGACAAGAATAGCTGGATTGGTTCAAATGCACTCATGCTGCATCATGAACTTGCGATGAAAAAAAAATCTCTCGAAGACATTCCCCAACTCCAGGAGTGGTGCGAGAAAGCAGGGGTGAGCCCACCGATCATGTCTGTGAAGCATTCGATAGACGCATTGCGATGATATGCTTTTTAGTGTTTACTGATTCCTTGGTGTGCATTGCAGGTGAAGTTGGAACTCGATTTGAAAGCTGGTTACACGACTAAGACGATCATTGTCGATGAAGCGAAGGCTATTGGGGCTTACCACGTCGTCCTGGACAAGAGCATGAAGAGTAACAAGAAGTATTTTATCGAGCACTTGACATGTTTTGTCTCAAGGGCACGACAGAGCGGCGGAGTTGAAACCTTACGGTCCTTCTCGGTGACGAACCAGCTTCCACCTCTGCTGCCAACCCCGCCAAACTTGAGTCGGCCCGGAAACTATACCATGCCCTCATCCGGATCTATGCGGTCCATGAGCTCACTCCTGTCGAACAGCTCAAAGGACCGCAGTTCCATGGCATCTACGGTCTCCTACGACAATACGTCGAGTGATGGTTTCCTCACGCAAGATAGTGATCAGCTCTCGGGAGCGCCCTCCACGGTAGAGTCCGTTGAACGCCACCACCAAATCCAAGAAGTATACACAAACCAGTCGTCCATGCCAGTGCGAGCACTTCACGGCAGTTCGAGCGCGCAGGAAGCGAATTGCATCGAGGATTTCTCGCGCCAACCGCCAGCCGAGGTTGAAACAATGCACAATTCGGTCAACCGGCAGCCCGCTTTTCGAAAGTGGTTGGCTGAAGACGACCTCTCGGTCACTCGGTCATCATATCAGAATTCAAATGCACAGACCTTCAGTAATCGAAGCAATGGAAATGATACACTTCCAATGGCTGCCGCTCAAGAGCAATTCAGACGCACTCGTAATTATTCCGGACCCATAAATCCAGCGTCACTGTCCCTTGCATCCGCAAGAACCTTTACACCGTTGAATGTACCAGCATGGATGGATCCCAACGCGATCTTGCAGCCTTCCACTCCTTTTTCAAGGAGATCGGCACCACCGAACACCAAGCTGGCGCAGAGTTTGCCCAAGATGGTTTGGATATGGACACGCAGCAAGGAGGTAATGCAATCTGCGGTGGAGGTTGGTTGGACGAATTTTGTTTTCACCCGCAACACCAAGGACTTGGCTACTCAATTGACTTGTAAGTGCAGATCTAAAAAAAAATGCCGTCTGCCATTTCCCTTCAAAGCTTGTTAGATTGTTTCTTGCAAATTCTGTTGCTGTTTGAGTTTAGATCAACGATTAAATGCCTGGATACTCTGAGTTTGCAGCTGTTGAGTGGATTAATCCTCTAAGCTTGGAAGGAACGCAGTTTGTGAACAAAGAGGGTAAGCAAGTGGCGACTCTTGGTCAGGTGTACTCTGGCAATCAGCTACAACATCTCGTAGAGATGACGGGTAGAGCTGAGACGATTGTCATCAACGACCTCGACTGGGAGATTATCTCTCCTAAAGACATCGTTGCTGCGTTCCAAGGTCGCTGCACTAATCTTTTTGCCACGGCTAGCTGTGCTGCTGACGCCCGAGTGTATTTGGAGGTACCCTTTTGCTGCATTTCCTGATTTTCCACTGATGAAGATTCTGATTCTGATGCATTGTAATGTTATTTGTAGTTAAGGTCGGTGCCCATAGCTTAAAGATGGTAACGCCGAGAAATACGGACTTCTTATCTACAGGCTCTCGAGGTTGGCACGGATGGTGTGGTTCTTCAAACAGACAACTGCTCCGAAATCACTGCTCTCAGGGTAAACATTGTAGACACTGTTTACCAATGCTAATAATCGCCTCAAGAATTTCTCCTCTGGGTTTTGATTTGAGCCCGTAACTAAACCAAGTTTGCATTCATGAATTCAGGATTATCTCACTTCAAAGATTGTTAAGAAGCACGCCACAAATTGTTCATCAATTGAACCGCTCGTCAACAAGGCTAGTGAGCTGAAATCGATGTCAGACACAGTGTCCCTAGTGAGATCAAGAACCAACTCCTTGCACAGGGTCAGCTCAACTTCAAGGTCGGAAGCTATTCCCCGCAATGGAATTGGTCCGTCGCGTAGGTTGGTGGAGTCGCCGAAGTGTCATGCGCAGACTTCCTCTGCACTTCCAGCTCCACTAGGGTTGAGGCTCATCAACGCTACTGTCAAAAGTGTCGTTTCCGTGGGCGAAGGAGATCGAGTAGCTGTAGATCTCTGCAATTTGTTGAACCCTGGCGAAGCTTTGCTTGTAAGTTGGAATGAGCTGATCTTGTTTTCCACTTTACAACACCGCCTGTCTGTAGCGAGAGGATATGCGTGGTTTGCTCAAAATATTCTAAGCTCTGGTACGATGTTGCATTTCTTCTTATCAAACGGGATGTTTTATGTGATTTCAGGTTGGTTCTTTCTCGAAGGGCATGTTCCTGGTGCATTCTGAGGTTCAAGCCAATAATTCAAGTCGCCGATCATTTCGTGTCAATGCCGTGAGTATAATCCAAATTTTGAGAATAGCTTCCTTATGAATCATCAATCACAGTTTTTGCAAGGAATCCATTTTATTGCTGGTAGTTCATCCGAGTGGTCATGGGTGTCTCATTTACTTGCACTGTCATGGCAGGGCCCCGTTCATGCATACACAGGTATTTCTGGAGGACACATCACATACTTGTCGGAGCTAGAGTCTGGTGGCCAAGTGTTGGCAGTAGATGCTCATGGCCACTCCCGCACAGTTCTTGTGGGTCGTGTTTCGATCGAGTTGAAGCCTCTCGTCCTCGTCGTGGCGGAGGCTGAGGGGGAATGCTTCAGCGTCATGCTAGAGGACGCAGACTCAGTTCGCCTTGTTGTTCCTTCATATATGCAACATCCAGGCAGTGAAGCCATACCCGTAACCAAGCTGCAACCAGGAGACATGATCCTCTTGGGCATGGAAGTCGGCGACTACTCATACGGACAATAACGAACCTGCACTTCTATTTAGTAAAGAACAAATTCCTGTACCATCTGTGATAGGGACGATTCTGTCATGTTTTAATAGACGAGACTAGCTTTGCTTTCCAAGCTCTGCTGTGGTTGGCATGCGATAGACTTCGAAATATCTTCTATCGCCCTTTGATTTCGTGAATCTCAAAATCACGATTGTTGATGCAGTTGGCCTCTGTACAGTTTCCTCTGATCAATCATCAGCAGCAGAGCGTGCGAGTTACGAAACTTCTACCAATCATAAATCAGTAGGTGCTTTTTCCAACATCTGGACTAAGTGGATTCCAGCAGCATTATGCTGACATGTAAAGGCCCTATGTCACTGTACTTTAAATGTTAATGCGACTGAAAACTGTTGCGAAGTTCTATAACTTGAGCTGCATTTTGAGTCTTTCGGAGTGTGAAACTGGAGATTGGGTTTCGAGATCACAATATAGGCCACAGCTGTAGCTTCCTCTGGAGCCTTGCAACATCTGCCCTACGGTGCATTCTTGCAACATCTTCCCTACGGTGCATTCTTCTGTAAAATCCAAATTCTGAATAACGCCTGCAAAGTAACTATCCATTTGTTCGTGACCTCAATTACTTTCAACGACAAAAGATTAAACGCTATCTTGCATGAAGAGAATCTGAGAACATTAATTTAATGAAGTGCTTCTCATTGTCCCAGCACATTGGTATTTTAACTTAAGGTTCTAAAAATGCTCGACTATGGCAGCTTCCACAATGAACCTGATGAGCGTGTTCCTATTTACAGTTAGTAGAGGTACCTATTGAGGTGCCTGATAACAGTTGCCATCACATCTTGATGAGTTAGTGACCTCACAACATAACCAATAGCACAAACATTAATCTCTAATCCAGCATATCTGATATCAACTCCAGCTCTGAATATAGTGAAGTCACATTATATTCGCTAGATTCAGAGTTCGAGTTGGTATCAAATACTTATAGGAAGATCTTGTCTCTCGGATTGCGAAAGGGAGCCCCTGTTTTGTCAACAAATAGAAACCTAAGGTGATCAGTTGACGATGGAGAATGGCTCCGAAGAGGTCCTTCACGTGGAAACTATTTAAGCTCACTGCCGTGACAGATGCTGCATAAGCCTAAAGCCTAAACTATTTTAAGGAGTCCGCTCACAGCATGCACCAGTAATCGATGGGAGGCTTATTTTGATCAGTCACAACTTTTACACTGTCACTGAAATCGTTTCAAATACCACCCTCGGTGCACGACCCTTCATGCACCAACCGTTCTCCTCCGAAACTTTGTCTCCTCTCTAGGCGGTATCTCGAAAGATGCTTGTTTGGCTGAGGGGAGAGTCGGACGGAAATTATCGTCGTGATCTCTTGAGGACTGTCAGGAGGGTTTTTGAGTGACGTGCTGCAAGGATCGGAAGAATTAAATAGCTGGAAGAAAACAGAGAAATGTGCAAAAGGAGCTCAAAAATAACAGCGGCAAATAGTTAAACTAGAGACTACAGAGAGAGCTTGGGATCTTTGATTGCAAGCAGCCTGCGACTTCGAGGGTAAACGGAGGATAGGATTGACGCGATTAATCGTCGTGAGAAACATGACCAATGTACTAGTAATTGCCCTTTGTCAAATCGATGGATCCTGCCATCCTCTAATTGATGCCTTGGCATCTTCACGACATGGTTTCTACGCAAGCAAGTACTTTTCCGACACCGAGGGAATTAATTGACATGATAATGAACATGAGGGCCACTCTCATGTAAAGCTTATATGGAGAGTTTTGAAGAAGAATTGCAAAGTGTGAGATAATATTGACAATCTGTAGCTTGGTGGTTGTGATGGAATCCCACCACTGCAGTAAGAGCAGGATACCTCAAGCCCCCTGGGTGCTTTACTTTGATGGAGCTTCCAGGAAACCTTCAGCGCATGGGGGCTTGGGCGTGGTTATTAAAAACAGCAAAGGGCAGGTAGTGGAGGAGGTGAGGGAGTTCTTAGGTGGAGGTATCTCGTCGGGGTTGGCGAAATATAAAGCGCTGCTTGCTGGGTTGAAAAAGGCCAACTCCCTGCAAGTGAAGCACCTGCTCGTCAAAGGCAACTCGCAGCTATTAATCAACCAGGTTATGATTGTTCCTCTTATATACCTATCTTTGCTCATTTCATTCATGTGGCACACCTTTCCTTCCAGTTAGAGAGAAAAAATAGATATATATATATATATATATATATATATATAGGAACAAATTACGCCACATCTGATAGCTGAAGAATTAGAAACTAATAATATATATATATATATATATGTAAATATGTTTAAGACACATCAACAGGATCGACGTGAACCTAGTTGCGATCCTTGAGCTGACCGCCTTGTCCTCTAGAAGGACACAGTTGTTGACTCAAAATTTTCGGTAGATACCATGGTAGACGAGTAACCCTATGCAGCATGTAATTTTCACATTCAAAAAACAGAGGTTTGCAATCACGAATATACAACAGCAATGTCTACATCAAGAATTTGCAAATACAAGTACACGGTCAATTCTCTCGTGAAGCTTCAGGGGTTTGTTGCTCTTAACTTCACATCAATGCAAATCCATCCTTGATCGGCGTTTAATCGGAATGAGGCCTTTTATTCTTGCAGGTGGTGGGACGCTGGACTATCAAGGACACCCATCTTCGAGACCACCTGAAAAAGGTGTGGGCGATCTCGAAGGAGTTTGACAGTCTCCTCATGGAGTTCATCTCCAAGGATCAGAATACACACGCCGGCCGCATCGCAAACGAAGCCATTGACAAAGATCTGCAAATCCAGGAAGTTATGACAGAGTATTTTAATCGAGGTATGAGTAATTGGCCAGTTGCACAGTTCAGGGAGCCGGTTCTCATTTCGCCACCCTCACGAGTATCGACAACTCTTTCAACTATAAACCCTCGACCAGTGTCTCCTGATTCTCAATCTGACTTTGACATGAAGAAAGACTCGCCCATTGCAGGGTCGAGGCCCTTATCTTTATTCCTCCAGACATTGATTACGAGGAGGAAAGCTCATGCCAATTCACTGCAGGCTCGTGTTAAGTCCCGCTTAGACGACATCCAGACTTCCAATTCTAACGTCACTAGAATAATCAAGAACTTTAGTCACAAACTTAAATCAGATGGTTTCTGGAACCAGGACCCCGACAGGTTGTCGATCTATGATGAATCCAGCTCCACTGAAAGCGAAGGGCAGGGTTGCTTCGAAACCTTTACTCCAGAAGCTACAGGTCCAGTCCCTTCGGCTTCGGCCATGGTAACGTCGGACGAGAACAACGAGAGCGACGAAGGGGAAGATGTAGACAGCGACTTCTCAAAGCTCTCATTAGACTCTCCTCCCTTGCAGTGCACCACATCATCATCTAGGATAGCGGATGCTGTGGCTGCAGATCTTTGCGCGGTCCAATTGTCCGAAGCCGACTACGATCGTCTTGTGTCTGCTGTGATCGACAGGTTGAAGAAGACCTAACTAGCTTAACCCACCAGTTCATTCCTTCATGTTAATCCAAGGTTATCTCTAGTCTTCAGAGGTTGTTTCACGTTGTCTTCTGTCATGGATGTGGCGTTCACTGGAAACGTCCACTAAGATGAAAATATTGAAAATCTGAGGGTTCATGGCTGACATAAGCTGTCTATCAAGGGCTGGTGTTGGTGCTCGACGACATTACTGACAAAATTCAATCGGATCGGCGTTTCACAACCATTTTATTCCCTCGTCGACGTAAGTAAATATCAGATAATCGCACTTAGCTACCACTTCTAAACATTGTCCAGCTGGAACAAATGCACTGAACCAACTCTGTTAAACGCCATCCTTAAAGCACGGACAAAACACAGCATTCACGAGGGACCAAAAACGACACCCAGGAATTAGCAAATGAGTCAAAGTAGAGTGCATGAAATGATGAGAAAAGAGGAGAGAAAATGATTATTTCAACGATATAAGTAGCTCTGTGTTCTTGGTAATATATGTAGGAATCGATGCACAAAATCATGGAACCTACATCAGCGGTACCAGTATCCATTCTTATGATTCAAGAAGATTGAGATGTAATTAACAAGCTTTGGCCGTCATTCTCCTGCACCTGTTTGTCAAATGCCCACCATTCAACATTACCTTGTCCAAACCAAAGAAACTATGCAGAAAAGTGTGCATGCAACAGGCCCAATATCTCACAGCGCAAAACAAACAGCGATGCAGGATATATAGCCCCTCTGCAGCGTCATCATCTCGGAGATAGCACTGTTCCATTTGTGGAATATGCATTGGACGAGTGATCGGAAGAGCTCAGGAGATTTTGCTTGTGTGAGGACTCACGCTGGCCGCGAGACGAATGTTCAGTCTGAGAGCCTTCCAACATGATGGCGGTGCGGATCTCTCGAACCACTTCAGTCATGGTAGGTCTGTGGATAGATTTGGGTTCAACACTCCGCAAGGCGATCTCTACAAATCGCATCAGAGACTCCGGGTTGGGATTGGAGGCTCTTACGGCCGAGTCCAAGATTTTATCGAGGTTGTTACCAGTTTCCATAGTCATTCGAACCTGCGAGGTAGGATGACTGTCTTGTTAACTGTCATGGCAAGCAATTCGGGCCACATTGTGTTGTCTATCAGAGTTGATAAACTGGGTATCGAATGGAGTGGAGTGGAAAGAAGATGATTACTTACCCATGAGCAGAGATTCCATTCGTCTCGGTTGGCAAGCTTGGGATTAATGGGTATCCGCCCAGTCAGCAATTCTAGAAGCACTACACCAAAGCTGAACACATCGCTTTTGAGGGTCAGCTTTTGAGTGTCGTAATACCTGCACGTGTACATTGAATTGTTCGCCTAGCATCACCTGTCAGCATAAAGCACTCGGACCAGAAGCTTCGAACCTGACAAATTCAGATTAATGAAGTGTTAGCCGCTGAAGGGACGTCAGCTAAACCTTTGGCCTTAAACGCAACACTATCGAATAAAGAGTCTCTGCTATGAGAATTAGCATTCCACAAGCAAACAGGTTATACTCACTGGGGGTCAAGATACCCAGCTGTTCCTTTCACAAAGGTGGAAACATGCGTGGCATTCTGGAGAGGCCCTCTTCTTGAGAGGCCAAAGTCGGCAACCATAGCAACTTCTGGGTGGTCGGGGCCCGTGAGTAGGATATTGCTGCTCTTTACGTCACGATGCATAATACTCGGATTACACATAGTGTGCAGATACTCCAACCCTGTGACACAATTCGATCAGCACTGAAAGATCCAGAGCGTATCTACTCACAAGAAACCTGAATGGATATTTCGAAACTTAGCTTCATCCACGAGCCTAATGAACATGCTGTGTACTACGGCATGTAATGTGCAATCTTACATTCAAAAGCTGGCCCTCAAGACCTACAAGCCGTAGTAAATACCGAGTGGTGGACGAGATGGACTATCTAAATAATTACCTTCTGCTGTATTAAGAGCGATTTTCAAGCGCATTCTCCAGTCGAGGTATATAATATTCTCTGGAGTTCCTGGTAGGCCAGATTCAATTGATCAATTTCAGTTGGGTGCTACGGCATGTAATGTGCAATCTTACATACAAAGAAGGTGACAGAGTTTTCAGTTCAATGATTCACCGTGTAGCTGATCATGTAAGGAGCCATTTTGAACGTATTCATAGACCAGGATCTGTTTATTTTTTTGATGACAGTATCCAATTAATGCCACCAAGTTTTTGTGTTGAACTCTAGATAAAAGATCAACCTGCACCTCAACCATGTTTTCATCTGCAATCAGTGACAGTATATTATGAAACTACGCAAGTCTCAATGGCAGGTATATAACAGATTGAATGGCAGTGGGTACGTTGCATATGTTCTCGCGCAAGTCGTAGTAGAATAGAGTACCAGGTCCAGAGCTAAACTCGTGTGTAAAATCCTTTCACAACAAGACTCTCGCTATTATATTGCCCACGCACCTTTACACATGGATTTCTAGAAAAGTAAACAAATATAAAGAGAGAATAAGAATTACCAGACTGACGGGGACCAAAATTAGCAAAAGGTATGGTTTCCTGGGTGGCTTCACGATGATATCGACGATAGCCAAAGCAAACCCCTGCAATAATTAAAACAAGCAACAAGACACCACCTACACTGGCTCCAATAACAGCGACTAGATTTGATTGTGCAGGTTTCGAGGAGTTGGAAGTGACGCCCATACCGTCGCAGCCACTATTCCGGAACTGGTTTCCAGGACAAAACCTGAGATAGACGCAACCGATTACAAATAGGCTCTCAGAAGCCAGGACTTGTTCAGTTTATAAGTGTAAAGAAAGAAGCAAGTTTCTATCATCATAAGCACAAAACTTTAGGCATGGAATTGGAGGAAATACTTACGAAAACAGCAATGTATTCGATGAAAGAAGCTTCGGTGGAATATTACCGCTGAAGTTGTTGTTTTGCACAGATCTGCAATTACAGGAGCAGCGTTCTGGCTTAAGAGGAGCAACACCTTTGGAACTATGGGGTAAGCTGAACAGTCACAGTATTGATGTTGAATGTGCAAATGAATGTTTCACAGATGTTTAAGGGTATGCACGTCGCTTACAACTCCATGAGCTGTGAGAAGGATGTCAACCATTCAGGGAGGGCTTCGCTTAAATTGTTATTCTCCAAGCGTCTGATCATATCACAATCTCAAATGAAACAATAAAAACCATAACCAAATAACTTCAAAAGGAGTATGTAATAGCTTAAGGCTGAATTTGACACGTACTAATAAATTGTAGACAACAGCAATGGAACTTACAAAATTTTCAGGTTTTTCAATGGCGATAAATCTGGCGATGACCCTACGAATGAGTTGTGGCTGAGGGACCTGTAAGAAAAATAACAGTGGATCTAAATCAGAAAGATTTCAGTTCACAATCCTTATTGGCTTCTGAAAGAGGTTTGTTTCATCAATAAGCCCTCATCGTAAATTTTGTTTTTGCAGCAGCAGACAAATCTAGGTTGTAAGCAATTTCTAAAAGATAGAAGACTCACAAATTGGTCAGAGCGAGGGGATCCGCAAAGCTAGGGGATATGGAACCATTCAAATTGTATCCCGTCAAGTTTCTGAGCATCATACACAGAAGTGTTGGAGGTGTTAGAAGTAGGATCATTTAACTTCGCCCTTCTCCTAATGTGAGAGCATGGTACCAATCACTTACACTTCTATAATTTCAGGTGCTGCTAGCTCTTGATTTCCTTGGCTACATTTGACCCACGGATGTGAGGTAGGAAGGCATGGGTCGCCCGTCCACTCGGTGAGATTCATGGTCGCCTTGGTGATTTCAATTGCAAGAACTACACGATATCCAACCGATTGATTTAACGACTTGATCATAGCATGTTGCCTACACCATAGCCAGATTAACTGCATATCACCTTCAGTGAAGCTTGGCTTCAATTGCAGACAAATAAATTGGCAGACTTGATCTAAACCTTTGATGTTGCTGAGGACGATTTGTGGACGATTGTGAAACAAAATAAGATTCAGGGTCTAGGTTTTGGGTCTAGTTTGCACGTTATAACACGAGGAACTTACCATCCCGCTCGATCGTTCTTTCAAGTCGAAGATTCGAAACTGTGTAAAGCTCCAAGGCGACCAAAATTCAAAAGTCGAAGATTCAAAATGGGCCCTTTCTGTGAAACCGCAGTAGGATACAAAACAACCTGGGTAGTTGGGCCAATCGTCTGATCAGACGATGACCACCCCAACACCTGAAATGGTTTCGGTGGATTGGTGGCATTGAAAGGATTCACCAACGTCGGGGATAAGCCGCGACTGACAGAGATATAAAATTGTCTCGTCGTCATCGTGGCCGACGCATCCAGTTCAGCAAAGTGGAGTATAAGAAGCGTTGAGTAATAAGTCTCAGAACCTGGCGCTAGCACGTAAGATGTGAGATTACCGGTTGTGGTAACCGCAGTCTGCAGGACTGCAGAAGGGGGTTCTAAAGGGGTTTGCAAGCCATTAATGGCAGTTGCAGTGGCCAAGGATTGTACCGGCTTGGCTGTAGATCGTAAGTAACTGGAAGAAGAGCCCTCTGGGTGCCAGTAACGGTCGTAAGCATCAGATGGAGACCTACCAAAACGTAAACAAAGTATGCACAATTGTCAAGTTTTGCCTTAAACCCTAAACTCCTACCTGAGCTTATCTTCAAGATTTAAGTTTGAATGATTCAAGGACATGCACCTGATCAGAACATTGCCACCAAAATTTATCCTCGTTCGTGTCGTCATAAACTTCCTCTCCTCCACATACTTTCTAAGGCTTGTAGTTGACGTTAGGTAGGCATTCGTAACCAGCTTCAACGAGATCGCTGAAATGAAAGGAGTGGACTCCGAACCATCTCGCACCAGACACAGGAAAGTAGTGTTACCCTGGGCGATGTAAACGAGCTCTTTGTACACCAATCCAGTTAAAGTCCTGGTAATGTTTCCAACAATAGTCCCCTCAAGTGCCAATTGGAACGTGGGGGGCTTAAGGCTATTGTCGAAGTTTTCAAAGGCGAAGGAAGCTCTTAGCAAGTAGGTTTTATTCTTTATCACAGGCAGAGTGTAGCAATTCTTGGTGAATCGGTAGTCAGGGAAGGATCTTAAGGATTTCAGTTCGCCATAGTTTGATGCGTTGGATGTCCTAAGATTTGTCTGGCTTTCGCCTGTAGAAATGAAGGGCACGTCCGACACCCATTGGATTTCCGATACTGGGTCAGTGTAACTAGAGCTTGATCCGCAATCGATATTAAGACCATCTGCAGATTGAATCACAGGTTTTAGCCATCTCCAATTCAACTGCAGAATTTCAATAAATCAGTCTCAACAGATTGCTCACTGCACCGACTCACAAGGCACCAAAACCAGCCTCAACATACCCACATCACGCAGCTCCTAGATATTCTATACCAAAGAATCCGTTAAAACTGTTTTAGGTTTGCGGTATCCAATTCCGAAACCTCTTCACAAAGCCGCATGGCCTCCCGAGCGGGACGACCCATCTAAACTATCTAGATGATATAAAGCTCTGGAATATGCTAGTAGTGATCGAAACACCACAAGACAGACAAGCACGGGAAGGACAGGAAACTGTAGGGCACGTCTCCTAGATTCTACACATACACGATTTGCGGTAGGAGTCACGTCACACATTGATGGATTGGTCCAAGTCGCTGAATCATCGATAATCTAGACACAGTGATCGGTACCCCAGAAGGATTAGAGATGAAGCCTAACGTCGATACCTGGTTGATCCAGCAAGAGGCGCTTGGCTCCACCAGCACACAACCAGCACTGCAACCAAAATTCGAATGCGAGTAGAGTTCGACATGGATTGCTGACACCGGATTCCCGCTCCCCTCAGTTGAAGCATCCGCCCTCTCTCGCGAATGCAGCATCGCGGCTCAGGATTCATTAGTCTTGCCGAAGCCGAAACCTCCGATGTATCTAGATTTTCTGTCGGTAGAGGTCGGCACCATCCCTATCCATCTTTCGTACCAGAATAGTGTGACCAACATGATAGTAACCAGATAGAAACAAAACGCATCAAATCTGATCGACTTAATCCAGCAAACAAACAAACAAACAAACAAAGGAACTAAAGCTGTGATTCAATCTGCGAAGGGTCGGTTGCGCTACACCGAAGCGCAATGGGCTTGAAACAACTTTGTTTCATGATATTGCAAAAAACATGAGATTAATTCAATGCATACGATGCATTGGTTTTCTGGGTCTGATTGGTTATACCAACTATATAAGTATATGTAGGATTGTAATATAAAGCTTTTACTGACAAAGACTTTACATGTACATCCAGATAAGGAATGGCCTGAATTTTTTTTTCTCGAAATGATGTAAAAAATGTTTTTCAACTGAAGAATGATTTCAGTTTCTGTTCTCCTTTCAAGTTTCGATCTCTAACTCACACTAAAATCTAAAATAAAACACATAAATTATTTAAGCAGTTTTATTTATACATTTCTTTTATTTATTTTTTTAAATGTGAAAACTTCAATTCCTGTACATCGAAACTTGTTAACCATTGCACTAATTCTCTGAAATATAATCCATTATATTACATTTTCTCGAATAACAATAAGATAATTGTTAGTATTGTTAATTAACATAGTCACCATCTTAATATTCCCACGTTACGCTGTATGAGGCGACACTTCCGCTCCTAAGGGGGAAGGCATGGTCATAGCCCATCCCCGTCCTTCCAATCAACTCACGTGGCATCTCAAACCTCCAGAATCCGACACCTGTCGCGTTAGTCCCCGCTTCGGCGAGCCTGTCGCCAGGCTCGGTCTCAGCTTCGGCAGGCTCTGTTTCCAGGCTCGGGTAATGATGCCGGTCGAGGTGTTTAAATCGAGGCTTAAGTCACATCAGGGCTACTCGAACAGTAGGGATTTTGATGAACCAGTTCTTTTATTTGTGGTGGTAGGTGCGATCTTTGTGTAGGCGTAGCCTCAGTGACTTAAATTCAGTCGAAAATGCTTAATTTCCTTTACACTAGGTGGATTGTCGGTGGAATCTTAGCCCAAACAGGCTTACAATGGGTGTTTTACTCGTGCTCGTAGAAGCTCGAAGAATGAGTGCACGCCTTATTCTCAGAAGCAAGCACGGATTTTAAGGAATTCGTTGAAATTTAAATATATACATTGATGGACTATGATTTTATGCAATTGAAGCAAAGAGTCTGCAAGAGATGATTGTGTGTAGTGGGGCGTTTGTCAGCCTTGACTTTATTAGCACGACGATGATTTTCAAGTTATACATGAACGTCTACTAGGTGCATGAGTTAGGTGATTCACGGTATGTACGGTGCATACTAGAGATTCCGCATCAACTGGTTGCTAGCTCTTAGATCTGATGTCAGAAAACGTATGTTTTTTACGTATTTGTCATGCAGAGGTGGGTGCTGTTTTGAAATCTATCTTCTGCTTAAGGTCTCTATCATTGACCTAAATAGGTTTTTATCGTCTCAGGCACCGTCAAACCTCTGTGAAGCAAGAAACTGCGTCGCTTGATGCCAATATGCTGATGTTCAATTTTGCGGATTTGTAACAGGTCTGTGATCTGAGTTAAAAACCGACTGTTACTTTTCGTTCGAGATTGCACTACCCGTCGAGGAACCAAAGCGAAGCTTAGGCTTCTTCGCAACGGCCCTGCAACAGAGGCACAGGCAGAAGGAAGGCAAAGCCAAGGCAGGAAGAGAGGGAGGGAGGGAGGGATCACGATGCGGGGGGCGACGCCACCATCGTCATCGCTGCCCAATAGGTTTCGCGTAGGAGAGGTGCCCACCATTTACTACGTCCCCGATTTCGTTTCAGCGGCGGAGGAGGCTTCACTCGTGCAGGAGGTGCATCCTTGCGTCCATCGCATTCATCCGTGATGCGCCTTTTTCCTTGCAACGATCGCATTAATGCCTTTGAGTAGAATTGTTTGTTGAGAGTTTGATCGATCCCATGATCAGGTTGCGTTGTGAGTATTGTTAGGGGGGCGAAAGAGCAAAAACATTCGTGATGATCTTGCCCAGTGGCTGTGGGGTTCGTGATTCGAGGAGAGAGTCTTACGTTGTGAATATATGTATATGAATTTCTGCTAGTTCCATAGGAGAGGGCTTTCCATCTTTCATAACTAAGAGCCCTCTATGTCTTCGGTACTTGTGAATTCCTCTGGACGCCGTAGGAGATACGTGATCATGTGTTGCTTTATTGTGCTTCCTGTAATTTGAATGGGATTGTCGATGCAGGTGCAAGTTGCCCCAGTGGCCAAGTGGAAAACCCTTAAAAATCGCCGGCTCCAGAACTGGGGTTAGCCATTACAGCTTTTACTTGTTTGCATCTGTTGAACTCAGATTTCTTTGTCTAGATTTGAATTTGAAAACCTTGGTATCTGCCTGAGGATTGCATCCATATGCCATCAGGAATATGATAGCCGTAGCGCTGATGGGTGATTTCTCATTTCCCTGTTTATCTTCTTGAGTTCAACGCGGTGTATCTGACAGCATGAGAAGGGCTTCATGAGCAGGAGGCGTCGTGCACGAGAAAGGCCTAATATCACAGCCCAGTAAGTACCTATTGGGCATTGCAAGATAACGTCGAGTAGCGTCTCAAATCTTGGATTGCAGTAGCCGTAATAATTCTGATACAATGTTACCTCGAAGATGTGCTGAGGTGCGCATTGAATGCAGTTCCGGCATGGTTGAGCTCTATAACCGAGAAGATAGCAAAAGAGACGAATCTATTTCCTGCTCCTATCAATCACGTCCTTGTGAACGAATACCTGCCTGGGCAAGGAATCACGGTGTGTGCATTTGGACCTCTATACTTCCATTTGCACGTCTCTTGTCGTCCTTACGAGTAACGGCAACCCTGTCACTAACTATACAAATGCTCGTAAACGCAGTCTCATCAAGACGGTCCAGTGTATTACCCTGTGGTGGCTATCCTATCACTCGGAGCTCCGACTCTAATGCACTTTACTCCTCATGTCCGTTTGACTGAAGCAAATAATGATGGTTGGTGCTCCCTGAGAATAAGATCTGAACGCTGACCCTGCGTATTCTAGTATGTCCATTCTTACGTTGGGGTTGGAAAGTCTAATGCCCTGCTCTTAGTTCATTTATACATACGTCTGAATGTTGGACTAGTCTTGAGCATTGTAAATTCCTGCTCGGAAATATCACGGGATGCACATGTGCATTCACAGATGTATATTTATTTTTTCATTTAGGTAGGACATGAATTTGTTTGTAAGAAAATATTGCTTTGACAGTAGATGACCTATTTTCAGAAAATCCAGACGGGCTGCTCGAGCCATCCCAAAAAACACAAGGCGGGAGAGATCATCCAGTTCAAGCTACTTGCTCATTAGTGTTAATGCCCAGAAGCTTATTGGTCTTCAAAGATTCTGCCTATACAGGTAAAAGCAGAAGTCTACCCAGGGCAACTCTGATGTTTTGTTGATTTCGTAAGTGGAAGTTGAGCTGGGATTAAGCCAAGTCATAATGTTTTGCTGCGTGTGAAGAATATCTGCACGGGATTGACGAGGCTTACGAAGATCTTCTTAATAACAAGGTATGATTCAGTCTCCATTTAAGCCGATGCGAGCAACCTCACTTTACTGCCTCGTCCCCTGTCTCTGCATTCAGTGGCGTGTACCAAACAGTGATGCAATTCTTATTCAATGTGTTTGCAAACTAAGGGCTTCAGTAAAGCGCACTAATTAATTCCATAACCTAATTGTTGAGACCATAGAGCCTAAATTGTGGAGAAAATGATGTATTTGTCAAGTGCTTTAATACTACTGGTATTCACTGAGATGTTCACAGACATAATCAACTCAAGTTGAGAATTATCTCGTATCTTTCGTTACACATCCATTTGCGAAACCGTAAATATGCAATGCTTTCTTTCAGGTGGTGAATTTGGATGCTTACCTTTCGCATGTAAGCAGTAGAAATGACGGGATAGCAGAGGATTCAAGACTTGGAGATGTTGCTGAGGAGAAGGATATGCTTAGAAGGACAGGTACTCGGGTGTCGCTCACATGTCGACATGTGCCGAAAGTGTACAAGAATTTCCTTCGACTATAGGAGTCAATCTTCCGCTAAGCGACTTGTGCACTAAAAGTTTATCATAAAACAATGGATTACAACCTTTGCTTTTGCATGTATAATATATATATATATATATATATATATATATATATATATATATGTATTCATACAATAATTTTGTATGAAAGAAACCCAGTGTATTAATATTACAAATGTCATGTTTGTTCAAAAATTAGATATGTGACATGTTACTATTCTATGTAGTAGGTCATGGAAATCATGTTTTATAATTTGTGGTCAAATTCATGGATGTTTCCTGACATAATTTATTGTGAGAATGACTATCCAATTAACTGACAAGGATGCATGAAATGTTCATGACAAAGGTCCAATGCCAACCGCATTAGTCAACTTTTTTCCGGCTTCAATAGAACTTTTAAAAATTAAATTATGTTGCACAACAAATCAAGAAATAATGCAAGATATTAACAATGACATAGCATAGTAAAATTACCAAAATAGCTATAAAAAATATAAAAAGTTAACAATTCACTAGTTAATCAAAAACAAAAATAAAAATAAAAAGAAACAAGGCTGAGATTGACCTTAGTTTTTGCCTCTATTTGTTCTACAAAGTTTGAAGTTGATTGTTTAAATCCTAAATGAATTGTCGAAAAAACTACTAAAAATTACTTCTAAAAGAAGTTACCAGAAAATTCCTGACGTTTTAGAAGATACAAAAAAGATATTGCTGTTCCTCAAGATACTTGTGGTGACGAATGTTTGGTTACACACACAGCTATCAACAATCATATGAGTGCTGACAATATGATTCAATATTCTAATAAACATAGGACACAGAAAAATACATGAATGATAGAAACTATACTAACTGCAGTAGGAAATTTACTGTTGAGTGGTGATCAAAATGAGTAGTGACGGCATGGTACAATATCCTAATAAACAGGAACAAGGAAAAATATGAAGCCTTGCAAGCTTTTTCTAGAAAAAGCCCTGAAATGCTTGGAAGCTAAATTACATGCGTTAAAACTACTTGTACAGACCATACTTGTCATGAGGCCAATGGATAAATTAGTACACCTATAACCAAACTATACAGTGCCCAAAAGGACATCTATAATGATCAATTCCAATACATTGGTGGACCGTTGGGTTGTAAGTAGGGGTAAAACTATGAGGAACCGACCTGGTCAAGTGGAAGCTCATAAAGAAATGGAACGATCCTTGGGCCACTAGACATCAAAAAAAGGAAAAACACGATATTTTGAAGTGCTTAAATACCGACCTTCGACGCTGGCGAGGTAGGTCCACATTGCACAAAATCTTAGGCAGGTGCTCATAAATATGCTTATGGAAAGCTTGAACCGCTCCTTCTACACCATCCTCATATTCCATGGCTTTCGCCAATTCCACTGCTGCGCGTTTAACCTGACAACGAACTCTCAAGTTATATAACTGCACGCTCGTAGCAACAAACTAGACATGCCAAAGATACCGCTAAAATCTTTTAGAGAAGCCTGCCAGCTGAATTCATGTTGAACAACGCGGACGCTAACACATACCATTCAACAGATGTGTATCAAGACCATCGGAAACATACCTTGGGGTCAAGCATAAACTCAATAGCATTAACAAGCTTCTCCAGAGTGAAGTGATTGACGGGGATAGGAACCGGTCCTACACCCTTTTCATGCACGCGATCACCCCAAAAAGGTTGGTCTCCAAAAAACGGGATGACGGTTGTTGGACACTGCACACCACAATGAGTACATCCTTCAATCTTTAACATAAACGAATTAACGGGGAAAAAACGCATTTAGCAACTGGAGAAGAACAGGAAACAATTGTAGAAATACTAAAAATGTTCAAGAACACACTGAGAAGCCGAGTCTGTATTCGCAGTACGGTGGTCCAGGTTCAATTAAGGATTCTACTGAACTTAAGACATTAGGGCTGATTATTTACTATCTATGAGGTGAACAGTGCTTTGTTTCTCTAAATCATTTTATTAGTGTGTTTCTCACTTGCACGATAGGAAAACTCAGCTGGGATTCAGATAGTAAAGACCCAATGCAGGGCATCGACATAGAAAGTAGATAAGTACCGCAGCTTTTAGTCCTGCAGACGTGGTTCCTGCACCTCCATGATGCACCTGGAAGCATTTCGACAATACAGTTATCAAGATATTATGAACCTAGCATCCCAAATCGTTTCTCTAATATCCGTGAATAATTTGAAATAAAAGTAAATAGAATACTGTATGTGCCATCCAAGGATGAAAGTCGATTGAAGTCCTGAACACATACCACCGCAGCACATTGAGGAAATAGCCAATCATGAGGGCAGTCTGACAAAAGATAAATATTCTCTGGTGTCTCCGACACTGCAATCAAGAACATAAAGGATACAGCCAATGTTATGAAACGAAATCACAAGATCTGGGAAATATTTGCATTGCTTGAAGTTCAACATATTATAAATCGAGATTTATTATTTATGTAAATAAAATATCTAGGAAAAGAAAACTATATTAAATCTAGGGCTGACAGACACCTAGACCGAGATCAGGTTTGCACAGACTGCATCAAATATAAGTACTGATAGCAGGAAATTTGAAGGAAAACTTACAATTTCCAATGCCACCCCATCCTTTACCAATTATTCCTCGCTGCCCAGTCTTGTGGAGTGCTTCAACAATAATTTTTGTCATGCCTACTGGATCTTCTACAGGCTACAGAGAAACAATGATCACATCCATTTCCATACCGCATTAACGTCCTCACTACATTCTACACTGTTTGCTATCATAGTCCGCAGCTTGCATATCATCAAAAGACCTAACCATCGAACAAATGATAATCCTTCGAATAACATCAAAGGCAATCGCTAATTATTTAAAACAGCGCGAAGCGCAGAGCATGTTCCAACTCAAAACACTTGAATATTCATCTTTGGCAATTATAACTACGACCTAAAGATCCATGATAAAAGAAGCTTACCAGACTTCCAAAACCAATATATATAGGAGGTGGACCAGCTTGCAACCATTTCACCAGATCTTCTGGAGGTTTGTAATTTGTGGCAAGGTTTAAGAAGCAAAAGCCAACCACATCAACCAAGGGTCCCCAGTCTACAAGATAAAAAAATAACGTGTTAAGTCAATACAAACAAGAAATGATTTTCCATATAATATTTTGTCCAATATAGAAATAGGGCACCCAGTAGAGCTCCGTGATCTCAGTAAGAACAGTAAGCTCAAGAGTCAAATATATGGAAAGAGTTACACCTTTAGGCTTCGGAACCAGGTGGGGGCTCCAGATGTAGCCAGTTGGCATTTCAGCGATCGATCCTTGTGAACCACTCAAGTAAGTAATAGGTCGTAGTTGCAGCTTCTTCTTACGGTAACTGTTAACTATTCCTCGAATCCCCAACCAAATCAAAGTGTCCACCACTTGATATGACATCTGACAAAACGGAACAAAGTTGAGACTCGTCAAGACGGAACTGAAGTTCCAAGTGCAACTTAAATTGTGAAGATGGGCAATACGAAGTTGGATAAATAGACGAGTCGTTAGCAATCAGCGAAGTTTTCTGACAAGGAATATTGATGGTTTTTGACTAAGTCATATGCACCAAATTTAGGAAGACACTTACTCGATAGGCAGCTGGTTGTTTCACTCGCGACAGGGGATGTGGAAACGCACTAGTAGAACTTTAAGGTCCACAACAGAAAAAAAAGAAAAAAGAAAAAAAAACTAAATTATGCCATAGTTTTAAAAACGGAAGATAAAACCCTTATCACGAGAGCATAAGAAAGAATTGATTGAATGGACACACAAAGAACTTCCCTCAGAAAAGGCAATATTTCATTTGATTGAAAGGCGATATTTCATCGTGAAAAAACTTACGTCCAAGGCATTGTAAAAAAGATGTGCAACGGTATCTTCAGGTGCTCAGCTACATGTACATGTCCTGTAAAAAGAATCCAATACTTAATAAATAAAAAAACGACGTAGACAGAGATTGCAATAAATTACTTGTATTCTACACATGAAGCAATGGCAACAATATGAACCAATGCAGAACTTGTTATTATAATTATTATTATTGTTGTATCCCTTCCTTGCTTGCTGTGTCCAAGAAGGCCATCACTCGAAAAATTTGGAAAATTAGAAAAGATTGGAGGTTCTAAAACTTGCATACCATATGCTGGAGGGTTAGCAATTATAGCCTGTGCCTGAAAAGGGATACCAGAGTGTAAATCTGGTTGAGTGCAAGCTGGTAGTAGAGAATACACAATCGACTTGATTTGCTCACGTTGCACTGGAATCTCCGAGGGATTAGAAGGCAAAAATCCCTTGTTCTTGACCATATCTGTCAACTCAGACAAAGGCACTTGGTGAGACGAAAATGTGTAGACAACAAGAATCCAAACTTGCAAAGTTTGTGAAGTTAATTTAAATGATCGAAACTACTAATTGGCAGAGTCTCCAGCACCACTACCATACACGCACCAAATAATTAGAGATTTATTTTTTGCTGATGATGGAAATGTTCATGCACTAATGTTAAAACTGACCAATGCACGATAATGTTAGTCAAACTCAAACTGATCTCGGAAAGGGCTTAAATCTCTACAAAGATTCAATCCTGCCAATGCGTCAAGGAAGTTAGAAATCAAACTCTGGGAGCAATTTCAATTAAAAGTTCAAAATGTTTTGATGTCAGCGTTACATACATCTAAGCTCAACATGAAATGCTAGGAAAACAGAATGAACTACTAAGCACGCAACATTCATAGTTTGAGGATGAGAACGTACATCCAGCAAGAATCACCGGATCGCCTCCTAGTGGATAGAACTCCAAACCCTCTTTCCTCACAAAGCTTTCGAAGTTCTTGTGTGATGCCAATCTTACTCTGTGTCCATGTTCCTAAAACAGTGATAACAAAGGAGCGTGTTTACGTAATAAAACCTATGGAAATCAATTGTTAAAGATCTAAACACTAGTAAATACCTTAGAACACAGATCTGCACGACTAACCCGTCGGATCACAGCAGCGGACGTTTGACGGTGATATCCAAACTACTAGTATATAAATTACTAATAAAATATGTATGTGGATGAATAGATTTTCTTACGTTTAAACAAAGCAAGTCAGGACAAAAGATACAGCATTGTGAGGATCAACAAATTTGCACACACATGCGCAAATAGTAGGACAATTGAGGTAACCTGCAATCTTTTCCCAATAGCGATGAATGGCTGTACGTCTCCACGGGTACCAACAATAAGCATAACAATTTTTAGAGGGGGAATCGACTTGGTTTCGCATAAATATTCAGCGTGCTTTTTGTCCAAATCATCTTCAAAATCTCCAAACTTGGGTTCTTCTTTAGACGTGAATCCATAACCGAACAAGTCTTTAACTGCTTGAGAACTCTCACTCATGTCAAACTCCACTGCTCCGTCCTTTTTAATCGTCGCTAGCTTTCTTAACAGTTTTTTCTGTCGCAGAAGCAATAATTATGTGAGCTACCCAGAATACGATACATTTATATGCTAGAATCTTGAGACATGGTCTTAAATACGAAGAAAATTTTAGACAAGGAATATTACCTTTCTGCGGTCTGACAATCTGACCTCTCCACCAAAGCGAATGTTTGCATCATCAACAATTTTCTCTTTTCTTTTCTTTTCAGTGGCAGAACGTCTTAACTTCTTTGGAGTAGCAGTTCCTGAACTCGATTCCGGCATTGACTTTGTCCTGGAAACTGCTCCATTTAAAACACAATAGTTAATCCCATAAATTTAGTCAAGTTTCTCAACGCTTCAAATTTGAGATATCACAGAACGCAAAAGCGAGCACAAAAAGAAAACATGAGCATTTACATAACACGAGAGGCAACTGCGTGTGTGAGTACGTGTGAAAGGGCTTATAATAATCATCTACTACAGCGTTATACATGCAGAAGGAGTAACATGAAGTGTCAACTGCTTAGGTGCAAAATCCGAATGTGAAACATGATATTTTTTTTAACGTCAATAAATCTGATCCCATCAAAAGGTTCACAAAGCAAAAAAAAATTAAAACTAAACATTAAGAAACACTAGCAAAGAAAAAGTGAATAGAAGAGGTGTGAGAAGGGCAAGTAGATCCATCGTTACAACTGAGAACACTTAAAACCTTACCTTGCGACAAATCTTCAGATTGAGCATATATCTTCTGGACGAGGTGGACGCTTTCTTCATTGGTTACACCAGTTGTATGTTGAGAATTATTAAAATCTGGAACAACTGGTAGCTGTACTCCACTGTCCCCCATAACTGGGGTGCTAGGGGAGGATGGCATCGACTGACTGAGTTGCGGAAGCGTCATATCCTTGGCTGTTACCTCCCGAGTGGTATCCGGAGCCAACATTTCCTCGGTTCCAAGAGAATCGCTTCCGTTCGCACTGTCATCCGATAGAAGAGCAGACACAACATCCAGACTCGAATTTCTATCATGACTCCCTTGACAATCGCCAGCGCTTGAGGCCAATTCAGATACTGTGTTCGGCAAAACTTCGGTTGGAAAGGTTACCAAAAGAGGGCTTACAGTTTCACACGGTACAGAATCGTTCTCACAGGCCGGTGTGCCAGGATTTCTGGCATGAACATTCTCGTTGTAAATAGGCTGGTTTAATTCCGAATCGGCTGGATTTGCCACGAGGTGTAAGGTAGAAGACAAAGGACTACTAGGTGAATCTGGTCGTCTGCTCCGCTCCCATTCTGAAGTAGGAGCAGCCCCAGATAAAGAGGGGGAACTTCCCGATTTAGCTGTAATTTCTAGCATTCTCATATCTAGAGCAGCGGGCCTGAAATCGTCCATAACCATCCTGGCAATTAGAATTGTTCAAGCAGCCAAAGTACTATGAATCAGTTCAAATTATTTCCCGCATGTGGGTCGAGTTCATGGACGGTATCGAATACCGTTCCCACAGCATGATCAAGGTTCAGTATCAATTTCCAAGTCTAAGACATAATCAACACCGCTAGGTTGAAGTCGATTACTCCCCCTCAGCCCTAATCATTGTTCGTATTGAAAACCTGCAGATTACCCTCTTTTAGCACGAAGATGGGATATACCAATGTGCCAGAGCATTACAACTTCTAACAGGAATTTATCATTGCTAGTATTTGACCTAACAATGTTTCTCCATTGATATAAACTCAGCAATAAGTATCCACTTCCAAGATTCTTTTCGATAGAGCCACACAGGAGAATTCGAACAAGGACTCCGTAGAATCTCAAGGAAGACGATAACACAAATCCCTCATCGCAATCAATACTTCTACCAATATCTTGAATGTTAAACTTCACGTCCGTAGCGTAAAATTGTCAGAGGTAAAAGCTATACCCTTCAACTACAGAGGAAAACACAATTATCCACATAAAGAATGAACACTCTCTGATGTATATGAAGAAGAATGCCCGCTCACCCATGCAAGAACACACTCTCTGGCTTACATTACAACTTTCGCCGCTTTGCAACAGGTCCAAGGAGAATCTGCAAAACAGAGGCTTCACAACCATCGCGTGACAAAGCATGCGAGATTCGACGAAAACAGCAGAGAGCACGCACGCACACCGTTGAATAATCAAATTACTGCACCTCTAAGAACCTTCTAATGTGAAATCGAGCCAAAAACCAGATCCCTTCACTCCAGCTGGCTTCTTAGCTCGAGCGACACTGGCAGGCTCACTCATTCGCAGCACCAGCAGCAAAGATTCCAAAAAGTTCCATTTCCAGCAGAGGCTTCGCAATTTAACAATGACTCCAACACTCACTTACGAACGACACCACTCTAACATCAACAAAAAGAAGAGAAAAAGAAGCAAACAAAAAAGAAAGATAAAACAGAAAGAAAGAAGAAGTAACCTATAAACAACCGTAGTACGGGGTACGAGGCACAAGAGACAAGAGAGCAGAGGTGGGGAAGGAAGAACCCCGCGAAAGGGCCCCCCGATCCAGTTCCTAACTAGTAGAGTACTCTACCGGCAAGCACTACACTACAATTACAACAACAACAACAACGAGGACAGACCCCCCCCCCCACTTGCTGCTCCACGCCGCGGTCGCCCTGCCTGCCGTGCATTACCGCCGTGCCCTGCCGCCATCCCTGCCCGGCCCTGACCTGCCCGCCCTCATAGATTTGCCCTTCGGCCGTGGGCACGGCCACACCGTGGGTGTGTGTGTGATTGTTTTGTTTGGGTTCCTTTGAATTTAACAAGAGTAGTAGTTATGTTGGTTAGTTGTGATGGTGCATGTTGGTATGGAGCTTCTAATGTGTTTAAAAATAGTGCCCTTGTAAGCTTTTAATTGTTGTTTGTTGAGAGAAGAGTAGATTTATCATTTTGAATAGTTGTGAAAGTGTTTGGATTTTGGAATAAAGTTGATACTGCTCAAAAATCTGATGGTTAAAAAATTTGGAGTAGATCATTTACAAATAAATTCATACTAATAATACTATGGTTACACTGAGGCTATGGTAGTATAAAGTAACAAAATAAGAAAATACTTCATTTTATGTAATAACTTTTTAATTTAATACTATGAGAATAGTAAAGATAATCCCAACTAGAGATATAAGAACAAGAACTTATGGGCCTCAGAAAGATATAATTTGTTCATAACTTATATAAGTTGAATAAATAAAGAGTCTATTAAAATTCTAATTATTGTGTAATTAATCAAATAAATACTAAATCAAATTCACGTGGCTAATTAGGAGTAAAAAGTAGCTCTTAAAATAAATCAAAAAAAACATTTTCATATAATTTTTGTGTCCTAAAGTTTTCATAATATCACAATGTAAGATGTTATCAAAATACAAAGAAAACATTGCAAAATAGAATATGTTTTCTACAATGAAGACACTACTGTGAGTAGTTTAAGTTGTAGTATGGTACTGCCCCTATGTAACCTAAGATATAAATAATAATTCAAAATTTGATTTTGACTAATGTAACCATCTTTTTAAATATATTATATATTTTATAAAAGATATAGATTGGTTTTTATTTTAATATATACATATATATATATATATATATATACACATTGTTGTTAAGAAACTAGAAATATCAAACAAAGAGTACAATATATTTTTGATATACAGAGATGATTATTTGAATTTTAAATTTGAATTAATTAAATATTTATGATTTTAGATTAAAATTTAAATTAACTAAATAATTAATATAATTTTGTAGTATTTTTTAATCAAAAAACACATTATTCACATTCATAATATACAACCAATAATTTTATTAAACACCACAATAGCAAAAATATTTTCAATTTGTTTTGATTTAACTTAATTGAATTTTAATTTGTCATACCATTCAACCGAATTTTATAATCTCTCTCTCTCTCTCTCTCTCTCTCTATATATATATATATATATATATAATTAACATTTTATCTCTCTCTATATATATATACATATGTATATAAATAATTAACATTTTATGTTTGTTTTAGTGACGTATTAATGGAAATTACATGTTATTTCAGAAGTTCCTTTAGAGAATTCACCTCATATTATATAAACATGTTTTAAATTTTAATATATAGTAGATTTTTTTTAATGTCAAAATATTTTTGAACAACAAATATAAACTTTACTTCAAAATAGTCTACTATTCTTATACGTTGTATAAATAAAGTTTATTTATTTCTTTATTTCTCTGTTTATATTTATTTTATAATGCATTATTTATACTTATTTTGTTAATATTACTTTAGCCTTGAAATTTGTGCTTGTATGTGCATATGATGAAGCTATAACTATATTTATTTATTGTAGAAACAAGGACTTTGTATAACCACACGTACAAGCTGCATGAAACCACCAGATTTATGCAACCTTGTGCCATATTGCAAACCCTTAACGTTTTTCTAACAAGACACAACTCCTATAACACAATGGGTCAATAATTCATCCAAACAAGCTCATGAAATGCATGACTTACACAAGTGAGTGATAGTTGTATTATTACTATTATTCATTAAAATGGAAGCCAAATGTGTTCTCACATAATTCTTACAATCTGCATGGAAGCAACGAGAGCTATGTTCACACTGACAACGGAGCACGCAGCAAGGTAAGAGGACGAGGAGGAACTGGTGAAGCGAGAGAGAGCATGAGCATGAGCATGGGCGACGAAGCCATAGCTTTGATCTGCTTTGCCTGCTTATGTCTCATGTCTCTCCTCCATGCGATGAGGATATGCTCAAAGGTGTGGTTGCTGCTTGCTGTCTGTCTGGCATCACTCACTCTCTCAATCATCTGCATGCGTTTGCTACTTCTGTTCCCTTCTCGATCACATGCACGCTAACGAAATGGCGCTCACTACGCTGGCTCACAGGCCGTTTTCTTCAGTCAGATTTCGCGGAACGGTTTCAGCGAACTTTCTGTTTAATTTTTTGAAAAACGCCGACTCTTATCCATGTCATGTCTTCTTTTTTTTTTTTTTTCTTTTTTTTTGGTATTCCGATATTGTTTTCGATTTCCTAATAATATACTGGCCCATGGCTGGCGTTGTGCATGCGCGTCGTGGCGAGCTGATTCTAACAAGTGTGGCATCGTGGAATTGCGGCATGTAAGTTTGATGCTGGCTTTGATGGCTTCTGCTGGTAGCTTCTGACGCAAAGATCTGGCATCTCAGTGAATTTTCCTGACCTTGTGGAGCTCACTTGACTTGGAGTAATGGAACTGCGCGCAACATTCTGGCTCCTGGCATTCTCTCGTCCATGGTTTCTAGCTTGCTGAGTGGTGTAGTTCTGTATTCGACAAGAATCAGAGTTGTGTCTCCGGCTCGTCAGATTTCAGATTCTAGACACTGACTCGTTTCTTGCAATCTCCAAGCAAGGGTTAGCCAGTATTGTGTCGCGAGTAGCTTGCTTGCGTTCACCAATTTGTCGCTAAGCTGGCATATTTAATGAGTTCCTCTTTTCACCACGTTCTTGTTCGGTATTAGCTCTTCAAAAGAGTTTGTGAGGCTATTCGTAGAATATTCGATTCATTGGCCTTCTCCTTCACTTAGCTGTTGACTCGAGGAACATTTGTGTCATTACTGTGGGGAACGGCTCTTTTGCGCATTTCTCGTTCCGTTCTGGATGTCGTCGGTCCTTCAATCGCTCTGCAACTAACTCCCCCGCAATCAGCCGCGAGTTCCTTCGTCCTCTCGTGCGCCGCACCCGTGGTGAATAGGGGCGTTCTATATTGGGCACATACCTTCGGTCTCCTTCCAAGTTTGTGCTCTGCTTACTTTGTCTTTGTGTCGCCTTTCGTTTGAGTGAGACATTGGAGCAGAGATGCGATTTTCTTGATAATTAGTTTAGCCTCAGAGATTTTTCCTGCACGGTGACGAAGTATATTAGGGATTCGGTGGCGGCGGTAAGCACGTTCAGTGTTGTCTCTCAACTGATTCGTCCGTAAGATCTTGCCGTATGTCCGCATTACTTCCTTCTCGCAACGCGTGTTATCTCTTTTACCATTGGTGGATCACCCAATCCTTCTTTTTATTCAGTTAGCTTGATTGCACCTGATCTATTAGAATTTCGCACATTTTCCTACGATCCTTACTGCAAGAGCATATATGGAAATTTAAGGTTTGTTCTGTGTTTGTTGTCTCAGAGCGCAGGTCTGGCTAGTGTGTTCAGTCTGGAACTGCTCTTCCAGAGCCTGAAGAAGGCAATGTGTGTTTAGTTTTCACATCTACGACTTTCCGTGATTCGGCTTTTGGAGTGTTCTTCATGCATACTCCTGTTCCGCATTTCTCCTTGCTTCGCGCGTGGCACTGCTGAGTACGCTGAATTTCGGTGTGCCCTGTCTTCCTTCAAGCTTTCCAATGGAACAGGTAATTTCTCGATTCTGTTGGCCTTTTGTATGTTAGATATAGCTGGAATTATTTAGGAATTGCCTATCAGCGGAAGCCTGCTTCAACGCCATCCTCTCTTTTCTCTGCTGAGCATCCAGTCAGTGGTAGAGTGTAAATCTTGCTGGGTGTTGTCCTGTCAACGGTCAAGATTCTGTTAGAAGTAGGTGTCTTGTACCATATGGAAATCACGAGAGGTTTATTCAGTCTACGTCCTGCGCCCCGTCTCGGCATATCTTGCTACTCTTGTCTCATGTTACACACGAACGAATTGAGAGGTCACTCCATAACTTGCTTAGGGTTAGTTGTTATCCGTTTCGTTTTGTGTTTTCCTAGAATACCTATGGATGGGTATCGATCGCGGATTTCCTTTGCTATCCATCTTCAAACTGTCTCATTTTACATTCTGTGACGAAGCCCATGTGTCACTCACCCAATCTCCTCTTGATGATGGCAACTGTAATGTGGCAGTATGAAAAAGTGGAGAAGATTGGGGAAGGCATGTACGGAGTGGTGTACAAGGCCCGAGACCGCGTTACCAATGAGACTATTGCTCTAAAGAAGATTAGGCTTGAGCAAGAAGATGAAGGTGTTCCCAGCACAGCAATCAGAGAAATCTCCCTCCTGAAGGAAATGCACCATGGGAATATAGTGCGGTATGATGTCTTTAACCGCTTCTTATGTTCGCACAAATATCCCCTTTCAGGTCATGCTTTGATGAGAAGCATGTTCATTTCGGCTGTCGTGACACTTGAGGATAGTCTTGGATTGGATATGTCATCACATACTGGCAGTAGTTTCATAGTCCCGGGATAATTTTTTATGCTTTGGCTGCCATATCCTAAATCAATTCTCTAGTCAGACTCAGAAGTGCTTACAGAACATGAGAAATGCGAATGCTTTTGACCTTAGTGGATAGGTTTTTCCTTCCTCGGAGGTGTTTCATAAAACTTACTGCTGTTCCCATACATATTGCAATGCTACGACTTCAATGTAGGATATATTACGTACAGAATATTCTCCTGATAGTCCGAGTCCTGGCTTAAGAACTCACCGAATGTAATTATGACACCACCTGATTTACCACCTACGGGATGTGGTTTTGACCCCAGGCTTCAGGATGTGGTACACAGTGAGAAGAGATTGTATCTAGTCTTTGAGTACCTGGATCTGGACTTAAAGAAACACATGGACACCTGTCCTGATCTTGCCAAAGACCCGCGCTTGATCAAAGTAGGGTGAGATCTTTGTAGATTTACTTTGCGTCATACTATTGTTCTCGTGTTTAGATAAACGGATTAGAAATAACTGTCCTTGTAGCAATGTGGTTTGACTGGTTAAGAAGAGATCTCTGTTGGAAGCATGATTTGACAGATTTGCACGTATTGATGTCAGACTTTTCTTTATCAAATCTTGAGGGGAATTGCTTATTGCCATTCCCATAGAGTACTGCATCGTGACTTGAAGCCACAAAACCTCTTGATCGACCGACGGACTAATGCTTTGAAACTCGCTGACTTCGGTCTCGCACGAGCTTTTGGTATCCCCGTGAGGACCTTCACACATGAGGTAAAATGCCGCTTTGTCATCCCCTAGAGGCAACTACGGATGAGCTCTCTCAATTTTCATGTTTTTCCTTTTGTCAAAAGCTGTAATTTCGGTTCTACCCTGTTTAGTGTCTAGTAAATGTACTTCTAGTCTTTATGCGTAAATGAAATTTGATGACTTCAATGAAGCTGATAAGTGTCATCCTTATTGGGAGATCAGGTGGTAACATTGTGGTACCGGGCACCAGAGATTCTTCTAGGCTCCTGCCACTATTCCACACCAGTAGACGTCTGGTCCGTTGGATGCATATTCGCTGAAATGGTGACTCAAAGGCCTCTGTTCCCTGGTGATTCAGAGATTGATGAGTTATTCAGAATATTCAGGTATACTCTAGAATCCTGGATATTCACGGAGATTCGCTAACTGGGAATTGGCAAAGTGCTTGTTAATATCTCAGTGTCAACCATATAGCTACCTGATGAACTTAGAACCCAAAACAACTTCGACATGGAATGTGTATCATCATTCACTGCATTTTTAGTTCTCTTGCATTCTCTCCAGGCACTGCATTCATGACTCATCAGGTGCCTACGTTGTACTATACTAATTTTACTGCTGACTCGTAGTGAACATCTGCTGAAGTTCGTCATGATGAAAGGTTAAGTAACTTCTCCATTTTATGTTTGCAACGTGCAGATTACTTGGTACTCCAACTGAGGAAACGTGGCCAGGAGTAACCTCTCTTCCAGATTTTAAATCAGCTTTTCCTAAGTGGCCTGCAAAGGTGTGAGATCTTTGTACAATTTATCGAACTGATTTGCAATCTTGGGTTCTCTTTTCTTGATTGTAGTCACAAGGGCATTTGTATTGCAAATAGTGTGGCGTTGAGACTATGTTGCCAGGGACTCTTCAAGCTGTTTTTCAGAACATATTCTAAGAGGGGTGCGTGTTTTGCAGAATGTGGGTTCAGTTGTTCCTGGTCTAGAGCCATTGGGCATCGATTTATTATCGGTTGGTTTTCACTCCTGGGTCAACTTATCACGAAAATCTGTTTATCCGTCACTTTCAGGGAACTTTTACTTTCAGGATGTTGGTCAGTTCTGGTTATCCGATTTGCAGTCTCGGTTTGATGATGTTGCGGGTTCTTGATATACATAGAATTCTGGTTGTATGTGTTTAGAATGGATATCTTTTAGACATCTGCTTTAGTGACTCTCTTTTAGTTAAGCTGATAAATGTTGTAAAGTACAGAAAAGAAACGAAAAGAACATAGAGGAAACGTGGTCATAAACGAACACAATTCACTGCAGAGCTGATTTATGGTTCTGCTCAGTCCTTTTTGTAGTAATACGTATACAGATTGTTTGACTTCGGGAAAATCGTTATTTGTTGTGATGGGGTGAACAGAAAATGCTGATACTGGAACCGAGTCGACGGATCACTGCTAGAACTGCATTGGAGCACGAATACTTCAAGGATGTCGGTCTGGTGCCGTGATCTGTTCCTGCAATATACCTGTACGACATTGCTTCAACGTTGGTGTAGATAATCATTTTTTGTCCCCCTGACAAAGGCTGAAGAACATTTCCTTTGCATGGTAGTGTCAATTGCAGTGCACGTAATTTCTAGAGCACTCGTATGCTGTATCCAGTAAGGGAGGATTTATATATGACATATCTGGAGATCGGAATTTCAGTCATTTTCTGCAGCTACTAGATGTAACCCCAAAGTAGAGATGTTTTTGAAACTCATAACTCGGTTTACAACTTTCCAGCTGTAGTTTACGAATTGTAACGACTACTTGAAGGGAGGTGGGTATTTACTTAGGCATTGTAGATTTTCTTCGACATTGTATTGTATGCCAACAGTGAGCAATTCTTTTGTTGAAAGAAAACTTGATCAAATTTTGTGAAAGGCTTTATTACTTGGATTTTTTTTTGGGGGGGGGGGTAGGTGTACGAAACAATTCGTTAGATGCTATAATAAAGATACGATAAAATAGTAATTTTCAAACTACTTCAAACTCACTTGGTGCTTGTGTTGATAGAATCGTCACAGAACTTCCAAATTGTAGAGTGTTGTAAGTAATCATCATTATAAAAGTTGTTTGGTTGAGTGAAAGCCTACAAAACCTTAAATAGTTATCGGGTAACTTAGTTTTTTTTTTTTTTTTTTTTTTTTTTTTGGTTCTTAAAAAAACTAGATTGTAACAATGTTTGGCAGAAGATTATGTTAGATTGAAAATATACACACAAGACTTAAGAAATTAATTTAATCAACTCTAGACAATAAAACAATGAGTGAATACATGTATATATACGTATATATTCCACCATTTGGATAACATAAATGAAAAAACATATTTATCATGCATGCTTCTGTTTACTCATTTTTTGTAATTATGAAAATATAGTTCACTTGGACAAATTCAAATAATGAGCTATGCATATTTAACCACTTTATTCCAAGATCTAAAACTTTCATGTGCATGAGCATGCATTCACATGAAACAATATCGATCATATGTTTAGCTTTGTAATAGTTTTGTGTTTCCATTTTTACTAGAAAAAGAATCCTTTTTATACTCTCGCATTATGAATTAGCCAAGAGAATTGAACAAGTTCAAGAATTTCGGAAGACCCAGTTTGTGATAATTATGATTGTCTAATATTTGCTGAACTGGACTGCATCGAAATAGACAGAGTTGGGTCCGGCGCTGAAGGGGGCGGCGGGAAAGCGTTGAAGATTCATGAAACTTTGGCTTAAATTAATGAAAATTTGTAAAGGTAGCGGTTGAAACACTGTCTGCGAGGTAATTTTCTTTCCACGGACGCTTCTACATACTCCACATGCGGCTCTGCCAATTTTCCTTGCATAATATCCCACTCTAGACCAGTTTTTTATTGGACTTGAACTCTTGATAAGGGTCTCCATTGCTAGATTTTGTTATCTTTCAACGATCTCCTTTTAGATAGGTAGAGCATTTGCAAATATGAGTTGATGGACAAGAGCTACGTTCTCCTGACCAATGAGAGGTGCCAAAGGTAGGGGTTGCAGATCCACGAATGAGTTGAGATCGGAAATTGTCGCTGAAAAAGCACATTATTGTAAGAACGGTTCGAAAAATTTCAGAGAAGTGAAAAATATCATCATTTGATTGGAAGCTGGAGCTCACCGCACGTTGCTTTCAACGTTGGCTTCACTTCATAACATTACTCTGGTTGACAATGTTTAGGCTGCAAAGTTGTTCAGCTTCCAAGTACAAAGATGAAACAAAAGTGATGTACGTAGCTGGCGAATCAGTTCTCAGTAAGATTGATTGCTGAGTAAATCAAAATATTAGTCTGTTAGTGGGACAGGTTACCTGAAACAAACGATAGTCGAATAGAACAAAACACTGTTAGAAAAGGCCGTAAATACCGTGGAGATTGACCGTAACTGGACTTTACGGACACATCACACCACAAGTTTGAGATTTGTCAAACTCGAGACGACAGCATTCTTTGAACCAGTTGACCAGTTCTGTTTCAATATCTTCTGTTCTATGTTGTTGCCTACCAGACTGGTGTAAACATTTCTAGTACCAATTGAGGAAAGGACAATAAAAATATTTGGCTTTATTCTGTTGAAGTCGACAATCTGCTTTTGACTCTCGGAGGCAATCGTTGCTCCATGGATCCTGCGATATTTCATGAATGGATGCTTCAGTTATTCAAGGAATCATACACGACAGAAGTCCATTTCATGAACTGAAATCACCTGTAAATCAACGTATTTTTCAATTACTCATCACAACTCGTAGTTTCTCCGCTTAAAATTAACACTAGCTTTGACTTCAATATTCCACCCGTTGGGTTTCACTATTCTGATGAGTCATATCTCAACATGAAAGCAGAAATAATAGTATTCTACACAGTAATTAAAACCTGAGAAGAGATCTGCATGAAAACCAAGAGCCAAACCTATACCCTCGATGCAATGTGTGATCAAAAAAGTTTATAAAACTCACCACCAGACCTTGAAATTCAGGTGGCTCCGAGAGTCCTCCAGGATTTCAAGCATACTTCTCATTTGAGCAAACAGAAGTGCTCATTGACCACATTCTTTCAATTTCGGGAGCAGATGCTACAGGCAAGAGAATAAAAATAAAGTTAGACAAAATTTTGGTGCCGTTACCATTCGTATGATACACAGATAAATCTTATCCACTTGACATAGAATAAATCAAGCTAACGACAACAATTTGCAAGACAAAATCAGAATAAAAAGCAAACCTTCTTAAGTCGGAGTGTTCCAGAGGCAGTCACAAGCAGCCTGAATAACTCGTCCGCATCACCTTGCTCAGGCTCCTTGGCAGGAAATAAATAAATGCATCCAAGAAGAGGAAACTCCTCACTCAGATTTTGTAGCACAAAAAATGTCCAGGGTCACAGTACTTTAATAATCTGGTACAAAGAAGTGAAGTCACTCCCAGGATGACAGCAAGACTATCCTGAGATCCATCAAGACGAAGCTGAGTGATCTTTCGATACCAGTACATCTTGTTATCTTTCAAATCCTGCTTGTCCAAATGGTTGCCGAAATAAAACTAAAAGTTGCGAGTCTCTGTTCTGAAATCTACTCTAACCTACAATGTGAAACTACATATAAACATATTTTAATTAATAGATTTCATATGTAGAAGAAAACCTTAAGTTCCAGATGCTCCAGTCAAAATTATAGAAGAATGCTCACACCGTTTTTGTTCAGATATATGAACCATGTTCATTGGATATTCTGCTGATCAAGCAAAAGCAAGTTTGCCGAGATGCCAGGAGCTCAATTAGTCGAGATAATTGCAGCTCTAACCCCAACTTATCCTCAGGAATCTCCTCGAGAATCTACTGGAGCAAACTTCTGAATTGATCTGTAGTTCTTGGAACTCGTTTGAATATAGAAACCTCAATAGCGAACACAGCTCGATCAAGGTTCTCTGCACTTCCGTGCTCTGCTTAAACACGCCAGATGAAATAGCCCCTTAGGTATTGATAGTTTGATTTCTAGTATGTCGTAACGTCTCACTAACTTCAAACGTCACTGATAAAAATACATGTAGCATTAAGTCCGTTTAACACACCTGAAAGTATTTCTGTTTCGTGATTGAGATCAAAGCAGAAAAAAAACGCAACCATTACTACTATGCTCGCCTGCAAGGTGGTGTATTCCTATATTTTCTGACGGGGACACTAAGTAACATTTAGTACGTGGAAGCCGAAGTTCAGTTATCTGCCGGCATGAGTCGATGACCTTCGTCAACACCAATAAATATAAATTTCGTGCTTCAGCAATTTTTACACTTCTGCTCAAAAAAGTGAGTTCAAATACGTGAACCAAGACCTATACGCACGTCATGGAAGTTTCCATGTTCTAAATCCAACATTTATACGCAAGATCGTTCTTAAGGAAAGGGGGATGCATGTAAACATCACGCGTTCACAAATTCTAGAGCGCGGCTCACAAGTTTTAGAGGCTTCACGTCGAAAACCGTCCCCCGAGGTCATAAACATTGTGAGCTACTTTTTCCCCCTCAAGCAGGCAGGGAAGGAAAACTCAACTTGCTAAAACCACTCCTGAACACCTTGTCCAGATGTAAAACAGAACCTTACAATTACTCTTCGATGACGAGATCCTGTATATTCAGACAGTGTGCTGCTTAAGTTTAGTCCGTAATTCATCTACGCAGGGCATCCTCATCTCTTCAAAAGTCGTCACACACCTCAAGGGTCCGCCGCGGCCACTGTTCACTCGGCATATTGTCAGACTCTTCGACACCAAAACTTTGAGATTGAAAGCATTCACAGTAAAAGAATTTATTGTTGAAAACCCTAAAACTCAGCTCAAGCTCGCACGCATAGTTGCTAATGACTTAAACTAATTGCCATCACGTTGCCAGATTTCACTGCATATTTATTATATAAGATTGTTAATTAGAGTGCCTCACAGTCATTGCAACTTTTTAAGCTATAGTACTATATTCATGAAATGTATATAATGTACCCTGCTAATTGAATACATTTGAATTTTTTTAAAACTTTGGCAATTTTCTGTAGGAATGGTGGTGTTGCTTCTGTGACTTCCAAATACCCTAGTACTTCGGTTTAACTTTTTTTTTGCTTCTCTTGTGTAAACAACTGCTACATCTACACGATAGATGTGTCATGGTCTGGACCAGCAAATGATATTTCTGATAAATGTAAAACTTGTTTTAAAAATATGATGGTCGTGAGTTTGTGGATTTCGTTTTTATGTAAAAAAATCTATTCCAAGCTCGTATGAAGTATTGTAAATGATGTTAATGGGCCGAAACAAATATGATTTCATAAAACATGAACGCTGGCTTCTTAAGACGAATGGTATTATTGCTCAATCAATTGCAGCATTGCTATGATCAGTACCAGAACTGTGGCTTAAATTGATGGAATTACAGTGAAAAGACAAAAATTGTTGTCCGTGTATCACTAGACCACTTAGAGTCTATCGGAAAAGATATAAAATTACGCATCACTCGACCACTCCAAGTCAATCTCACCTGAGATTCATTTTCATTACAAAGTCTGGGGCTAGTTCGCCTTAAGATGATTCATGGATGAAATGACCTTACAGTTCAAAACAGTTACCACATTCAGGAAAACCATCACACATTGATTTCGTTAGTTTCAGAATCTCCAAAACAGTAGTGTTTGCCAGGAATGTATGACTCTACAAGTCATTGTGGCACTCTAGGTGAGAATCAAAGCAAATTACGATCGCACCAGAAAGGCATTATTCAACTGAATTTATCTTGCTCTGTAAGTCGGTACGAACTGTTTCCGTCTACAAAACTTTCAGACTTGTACACGACCTGGTCTTGATCCTGCAAAGTGATTCTTCAATTGCACTAACGATGTCAAAGCATTAGATCATGGGAGAGGCACCAGTATTCTAGTAAAAAAATTAGCTACAGCACGGCAAGAGTCTCTCCAGCCATACGTCACAAAGTGGGCAAGTGAACAATCAGTTGACAATTAGTTGCCGTCTCCACAGCCTATGATTGTGCAGGTTGTCTAGGTTTGCTCTGCACACACCAAAACAAAACCCGAAGCTGCTGTTAGTTGACAAGTTAGTGGTATCAGGAGATCATACAAAGCATCACAAAGAACAACGAACATAAGTATCTAAACTTGGTATATGTTATCATTGTGAACGTCCAATATCAAGCTCCCCTCACCCTGCACTGCGAGACTGGAGCTTCAGTCCAGCAACAGGACTCATTTAACTATGTGCCACATGAAATTTCGAATAGAAATAGAAAAATTAGAAACACAGGAATATGGGAGCTTCCACCCTAAATATTAATGATGTAATTGCTTCTACAATATATCCAATTACATTAAATTTGATCGAGCAAGGAAGAGGAGTAGCATACCAATCTCTCATGATCACCCATGATTTCCTCAACTAGCTCCCTCATCAGCTTGTTGCTGTTCTTCGGCACATGTGCAGCAAATGCAGTCCCTGTTAGACCTACACAAGCAGGAGCAAGTTATTGTATTGGTTTCATTCATCAACTCCTGTTTGGAATAAAATGAACGTGTAGGTTTGCCAAATCTCTCTAAATTTCGTGTTTGAAAATTATATATCTTTGCTGAAAAGTGTTTAAGGACCCGTGAACCACGACCTGAACTCACTTCTAGCAAGAACACATTTAATATATATATATATATCTATATATATAAATATATATATAAGATTGCTCTTGAGGGAAGGCGATACACTAAAACATCACACCCTCACACTTCTCGAACGCCATCTACAAATTTTGAAGGCTGTGTCCCTAGAATAGCTTTCCAAGGTCGGAGGCATTGTGTGCCACGTATTGCCTCTTTAATCAGCAGGAATGAGACTCGTCTAGTCAGAGACGCTCCTGACTACCTTGTCCACATGTAAACCAGAAGATAAAGCAAGATCTTACCAACTTCAGGAAAAGCGCGGACGAGCATCATGAGTTCCTCGCCAGTTAATCCTGACAAGAAGCAGATTGGATGCAAACCCTGCACTGTCTGCAAATACATCAGACAAATCACTGTTAGTACAAGCTGTCAGGTTACATCAATGCACTGAAAATAATAAAATAAAATAAAATAGAAATGAAAAATGTAATCCTAACCCAAAGACAGACTAAAAGCCAGAGTTCAAATTTTCCACTGTCGGATGATTTACCCTACTCTATAAAACCCACCAAGTCCTTGCTCATTCAAAATAGAAGCAGCTTCAGTGATTATCACAACGGAACATGATGATGAGATTTATATCGTAAAGGATGGGAACCGTGAACAAAGAAAGAAAATGGGTACACAACACGAAAGGTCCACAACATCACCTAGGCAACTGTGTGGGAGGCCAGGCTCTACACGATCATGGGAGAGCTATATTGAAGCTGCTTACGGTTTATACAGAGTTTTCTCGTCAACCACATCACTTTTCAGATTTTCTTGTTCGCCTCAACACACTAGTGAAAAGACCAATTTCAGCATTTAAGATTGATATTCTCCAGAAGAGTTGCATGACAAAAAAACAATTACAGTAAGTGGTGACAAGAAACTAACCTCGACTGTAGACAAATCTGGTTGTACAGTGTTCAAAGCTTCATTCAAAGTGCCGTTCATCATCACTTCGGTACACAACAGCACCTGAAAATAGAATGTGATACGTATGGTTATAAATTCTGATATCGATAAATACAATTTTCAAATCAATTTGTTCGTCACAGAAGCCAGAAACGTGTCAAGTCGGAAGTGGCAAAAACAGCGGATAATGCATGTAGGTTTAGAGATTGACCTCCATGAAGCTCCCACCCATATCTTTTAACATTTTTAATGCCTGCACAACACCAGCAAGTTGCAGGTCTCTAGTGATGTTGAGAATTGTTTTAAAATAAATAACTCCACCAAAACTTAACTGGTCGAAAGAACCTCAATGCCTCTAATTACAAAAAGTTCGACTGCAGTCAAACCTTTCTCATCATGATAGATTTTCAGAGTTTCTGAATCTGAAACCAGGAGGCTGGTTCGGACGACTTCCGATACAGCAGTGCAGGTAGCAAAGTAAGAAGCTTACAGTTGCAACATCATCGTCGCTAAACCCCAATAGCAGCATAGCCTGCAGAACAACTCGTCCAGACAAGTGGTTCTGTTAGGCAAACTTGGGAAAATCTTTGCACAGGAGCCTAACTGTGTACTTACATGGCAGACTGCACATAACATTCGAAACGTTCTGCGCTCTCGTCAGATGCAGAAAGAAAGAAGGGAAGACTTACTTACTGGAGGACCGAACCTAGGATCATCCTCGTTGATTGGAACAAATTTGCTGTCCTCCAAAATCTCTTGAGGCACTCCTGCAATTTAGAGACTTTGAATTACATAAAAACATTCAAGTTCGAGCAACGGCTTCAAATGGTGCAGAAGCACGGTTCGCAAATCCAATGCGAAATCACCACCTAGAATATTCATAAAACTAAGACTGACAAAACCTGCTCCTGTGTCAACAAAAATGCCCCGCGTCAATTGACAAAATGCCAAGCAGTCAAGCATGCAAAGACAGATTACGAAGAGAAAATTCAAAACCGGAATCCATCACATCCTGCCAATACAACTGTAAAGCAATCTTCCTGAGAATTTATTGCTCCAGCCCTCACCTTCCTGAGAAGCCATGATTCGAGTCATCCGCAATGCTTTACGAGCACAACTATTTAGGAACTCATTTTGAACACAGTACTTTCCGGACCTGCACGTCATGACGTTGTGAAGGGAATGGAAAGCTGCTGCTGCCTGCCCTCGATGAATCCCAATCCGCTGTGTAATGCTGCATGATCCTGTCCGAGCAAGAGTGGATAGATTTCTGCAAAATAATACCGGAACCGCAGCAGCAGAAATTGATGTGGATGATGATGACATCATCGTATTAGAGAAGGTTTGTTTGCCTACATCATAGTCCGCAGCGCACATGGTGAGTTAGTTACTGTAATATTCTACTACAATTAGAAGTGGAAATGTCGACTTCGCTACAATTAAAAGCACACTCCCCCTCCCCCTCCCCCTCCGTCCAATTAATTCCCTTCTTCTTCTTCTTCTTCTTCTTCTTCTTCTCAACCACCACCACCCGGTACTTACTCACTTCCTTGAGTACTTACTTACTTACCACTAAGTTCAGACAAGCTGCTATACACACACACACACCATGCAAAGGGGGCAAAGGGGCAAATCCCCGCATCGAATTACTTACTACTACTACTCACCGGAGGAGAATGGAGAGTCGGAAGAAGAAGAAGCGTCGGAATCCAAATTCCAAATTCCAAATCCAAGCAAACACAAGCCAACCCAGCCAAGCCACGCCCAAGCTCTCTCTCTCTCTCTCTCAGTCAGTCAATCAATCAAAACCTCCCCCTCCCTTCCCTTCTGTGTAACAACGCACTGGCGCCCCAAAAAAAAAAGGGGGAGGGATGGATGGATGGATGGTTTCCCCGGGGGGAAAGGGGGGGGGGGGCCCCGCCAGGAGGGAGGAGGAGGGAAATGAGGAGAAGCCCCCCCCCCCCCCTCCCCCACGAGTGGTGGTGATGCGCTCGCTCACTCACTCACTCACCACTTACCACTCACTACCTCACTCACTACTTACTACTCACTACCTCACTCACTAACTACTCACTACCCACGCACTCACCACTCCCCTGCGCTCCATGCCTGGTGGGATAAGAGGAGTCCTGCTGCCACGTGGCAGGATGATGGCGCCCCTAATTCCACACTCTTCCCTCCCTATGACCACATGACCACCCTTCTCTTCTCTCTTCCCTCCACGGTTCCTGTGACCGTTTCACCACTGGCATCTATGACCGTTTCACCTATGGCCGTGTCGTGTTTTGTTTTGTTTTGGTGAAATGGGGGTAGGGAAGTATTGTATTGGGAGATATGTTTTGAAAATAGTGGCACAAGCACATGGTGGACCATTTGGATAATGTAAGAGATAATGTAATGGATTTCTATAAATATATATATATATATATATATATCCATTTAAAAATCGATTCATTCTAATTAAGTAGGTCAAATACATCTACATCTACATCTATTCTTGCAACTCATGAAAACTACATGTACTTACATTGTGCAATACATATATAGATGTTTTTTGTCTTTTCTGAATCAAACTCTCGGATGAAAATAAATGAATTAATTAATGAACTGATCAATACGTGGGTATCAACCATTTTTTTTTTTCTAGTTGCTTGATGCTACTATCTTTGTTTAACTCATATTCTTGAAAGAGACAAAGCAAAATTGGTCTTAATTTGTTCTTTTTGTGACCCACCTATTTTTTTAATTGGGAGGTTTGACAATGCAATATATTTTTAATAAAATTGCAAATAACAACCATTCATTACAAATTTGCAAAAACTTCTAATTATAATCAAAGTAAATAAATAGCTGTTACTTCTGTTATTTACTTTGATTATAATTAGAAGTTTTTAAAAATAATCATGACAAATGTAGTTGATTCTTATATATATATATATTAAAGTGTAAAACAAGAGAATAATTTTTAAAGTCTTTTTTGAGAAAGTACACAGAGATGTACTTTAAATGGCAATAAACGATACAATGGGTGTTTAAAGTACACAAATAGGAAATATAAGAAATACAAATTGATGTGATAAAGATTTAAATTATTGATGCGAATTTAGAAACAAACAAACAAATAAACAAATAAATAGTATGTCAAAAAATCTATTCATGTATTATGAAAGATTTAAATTCCATGAAGCCGTAAATGGCAACTAAATAGAAAAAAGTGTATTAAGTAAAGGGTGAAAATACAAAAAAATAAAAATAAAGTAGTGATCAATTCAAAAATGACACTGTTCAAACACCACAGAGATTGTGCATTAAAAAACTTTGTAATTTGAGAAAAAAGAAAAATAAAAAAAGGGAGAGAGAAAAACAAGTTCTTAAAAAATTTAATAACTGTTTATCATCAGATATTATATGCAAGATTTAAAATACTTAATACAATATTTCACTATATTTAAAGTTTTTTTCAGTTTAATGTTTTTGAAAATAATTCGAAAATGAATATCTATTAAAAATGAAAATAAAAACAAAAATGTATGAAAATGTATGTATATAATATTATTTTTTCATTATATCAAATCCTTGCTTATATTCCATGATTTAATTTATGTGTATAATTATTTACCTGTTTGTTATAAGATCGAAATTTTGTTCTTAGTAATTGTTAGTATGGTCTTTATATTGTTAAAATTGATTGTAACTTGAATAAATAGAAAAATAAATGACTTGTTTCAATGCATACTATTTGAAGATTATATCATATTTTTAAAAAATATAAACTAAAATACTGTGGATCACGAATTTTTATATCTACTTTGTACTACCAATAACTGTAAGCAGGAAAAACATAAATAAGGGAAGGAAAATCATTAACTTCAGAGGATTCCTAAAGATACTAAATAATTTATGTATCATTGAATTGAATATTTATACCATGTCATGAGCAGCCTCACATTTAAAAAAAAAAAAAAAAAAGGTTTTTCATTATCTATTTGAACATCATGTTCTGTTGGGTTTTTCTAATGTACACATATTGCTTCACAACAGAACTTAGAATTGTGTGTATTCATATAATAAAGTATAAATAAAAAATTAATATTTGAGTGAATAAAAATCACTAAATGATTATAATTAGATATGTGATAGCACAAATTCTTGATGTTGTGACAAGAGAAATTGTTTTTCAAGCAGGAATCCTTGTGTATTACTGAATTAAAGAAAATTCATTAAATAATTCTTTTCAGAAACATAAAATGGGTATTTTGTAGTTCACCATATTATGATTCATGTATATTAACAACATGGAAATATGTGAATTTGATGTCAGTTAAATAATGGAAGTGTGTTTGAATAGTATTCATCTAAATAAATGTATTCTGTAGAGAAATAAAAGGGTAAAAATAAATATTGTAAAATAAATCCTTGTTTGATTGTTTTTATATTGAGGTTCAAATTTATGTAAATTTAAAAACTTAGAACCAAATTACACAACTTTTCACTTCATGCTTGACAACCTTTCACATTTGTCTGCAATACAAAAAAAAAATGTACTGGTAGCGTAAAAATAATGAAAGTAATGTGTTTTCAATTAACACATTGAGAACCATGAAAGTCCTAAGATTAATTTTGCAAGCAATCGAAAAAAATAATGTGTGTTTCAATCAAAATTTATTAACTCCGACTTCCAAAATTTAGTATGTTTCCTACTGATCTTTTTGATGTCTACTTTGCACGATTGATAATTTTTCTTGAGTTTTTGTGCAATTATTGATAAAAAAAATAAAAAAAATAAAAAACAATCAATTCAAATCATTGTTTAAAATACTAAGGAAGATGATAATTCCAATAACAAGCACGTCTAAAACTTGAATACACTAGATTCTCATTAAATCATTTGAAGACATGTAACACATTTGTCAATTTATTATCATCAGTGTTATATGCAATTCAAACATCCTTTCTTTTTGAAAAAAAAAAAAAAAAAACAAACAAACAAACCAAAAACAAAAAACAAAAAAAACAAAAAACAAAAGAAATTGTATTATGATTCATGAATAGAGACGTTCATCTTTTTATTTTATTTTTTTTCTATTTATAAAAATAATCAAAACTTACAATAAACATGATGACTTAATCATTTGGAAATTATATATCTTCAAACAGGATCATAAATTGAAATATATATATATATATATATATATATATATATATGCATTGAATTTAGTACTTTTATCATTCTTATATATTTTTTAAAAATGGGTAATGAGGAGAGTGAAAATATATGTATTACAGGTTCAAGATAAGAATGGCTGAAGAACCAGTTATTCCTAGTTCAAGTCAAGACCATGCTTTAGAGGTAACTAATGGCATAGAAGCAATAGCAAAATTTAACACATTAATTGAAAAATTTAGTCTTCCAAAAGGAATATTTCCACTATTAAATGTGGAAGAATTTGGGTTCGATCCACAAGTAAATACATGGTGGTTGAAACTCAAAAAGAAATGCGAGCATGAGTTTAACAATGCAAAGCAAATAGTAGTCTACATGCAGAACATCTCAGGAAAAATCCAAAAGGGTAAAATATTTGACCTAAAAGGCCTGAAACTGAAAAGTAATGTACATAAAGAACTGTTTTTACCAGTTTCAGCTAAAGGGATTTTTATTGACGATCCACCCACTGAAAAAATTCATTTTGAAAATGCCCATGGTAATGTAGAATCCTTTTCTATTGAAGCATTTGTGTAGTTCTTAAAACCCACTTAGAAGAAGATAAGTACACATACTTATTGCCGATATTAACTTTGACGATTCTAGATTGGTGAATAATTTGCTTTAAATTTATTCAAATGAAAGAATTGAATTCTTTGAGTTTTTATTTTATTTTATTTTATTTTTTATGTTCTTGTTCTATTTTATGATTTTTGTTTTATTTGCTACAGAATGACTATTTTTTAAATCTTGTAGTCATTTTTTTGTGAAAATGTTGTAATTTAAACAATGAAATTGTTTAGTTTAGTTTCTTACTTGGATCGGAATTTAAGTTCTGTAATTTATGATAGTTTATTTTCTTTGATGGATGAAATACGGTTTATCATAGAACATGAAACACCAAAATTCAGGTTTTATACATGATTATTTTTGGATTTTAAAGCTTACATTTTTTGGAATAAAATGTACCACAATTATATATTTTTAAAAAATGAAACCTCACATTGAGATGCTTTATTTAAATAATTATTTTTACTTTTACATATATATATACATCCATACACACATTGTAATAGAATCATACTTTTGCGTGTTATCTTTTTGTATTGTATTCAATACATCATCTCAATGTTTACTGTGAAACACCTAATTTGTTGATAATAGATTTGTTAGGTTATAATTCTTTCAATGTGTTTCTATACGTGAGTATTCATGTATAATTACAAAAAAATAAAAAATTTTAATTTTTTTTCAATACAAATATATCCATAATTATTCATAATATAATCTTGATTGATTGATTTATTTAAAAAATTCTGTCATTTATTCGTGAAGAAAAACTTAATAAAAATAAATAAATAAATAAATAAAACAAAAAAGACAACATTGAAGGCAACCTAACTTGTGTGTCTATAATTTCAATTACAAATGTAATAAGGTAAAAATATGCTGTTTGTAATAAATTGACAAAAAAAGTGTTAGAACATTTGAAAGATTGTGTTTAGCTTGTGCAAATATGGATTTGTTGTAACTTTTATTTTTTTGGTTTTTCAATGTCTTTTAGTTTTTCTTCCATAAGAACTTTCAGAATTCCATCCATATACATATACTATTTAATTTTATTCAAAAATATCATTTATTATTTATACAATCATAATTCATATCTTTCTATTCTGTACTTCCTTACATACTTCTATCCTTGAAGTATAATTTATCCCTAGAAAGAAGAAATTATGTTTACATAATGTTTCCTTTCTAAACCAATTCCTCAAAGACTAATAATCTCCAATATTCAATCAAAATGTAAATATCCAAGGCATATTCAACATCTAGAGTAGTGAATCAATGAGGGATTACTGTATTTTAAAAATTTGTGTCTCATTATGCCCTTGAAATGTTGATTTTTGAAAACAATAATACTTATTTGAATTACACTTTTGGAAAATCTGTACTGATGAAATTAAAAAAATTCTACATTAAGCTTATTTTTTAAGTTCAATATCAACAAAGAGTTTTAGTGTACAAATTGTAGTACATGTTGTACCAACAATACTTGTATTTGACTTGATTCTGAGATATATTTAAATTGTTTATTATTGAACATTCTATAATTTGTTTTTGATAATTTAATCAAATATATTTACACTCCAAATTTGGAAAAATCACATATTAAAATTAGTATTAAATTTTAACAAAAGAATAAATAAAATTTATACATGAGAAAAAAAAATTGATATTAATGCCAATGCCCATATTAATGCTACTCCACCTCCTCTCCCACTTTTCTTTTTCTATTGGACTTTGGTAGTGGCATCCTGATTTGGAAATTATTGCTACTACTACTACTATTGTTGTTGTTGTTGTTGTTGTAATGCTATGTGAAATTTAGCTTTAGAATGCTTTATACATTTGGATGTGGAAGATTATGATCTTACCTTATATTTGAATTTTCAATCCAAAATAATAATGCATAAGGTGTTTAGAATCATCTTGGCAATTTTAAACAATCTAAAAAATCTTATCACACTATATTTAATTTCAAATAAAATTTAAAAAATCCTAAAAGAAAATCCTAATTAAAACTTAAAGAAATATAAAAAAATACTGAAAAAATCACAACAATTTCTAAAAAAATCATAACCAAATCCTAATTAAATCTTGATAGGTTCTTAAGAAAATCCTTAAAATCCTAATCAAATCTCAAGTAAATTCTAACAAATCCTAATCAAGGCCTACATTAAATCTCAATAGATTTCAAACCTTAATCATTATAATATCAACTATTGGACTTAATTCAATTTTTTTATTTGACTCAAGTTACTAATTGAAAATAAGCATGCAAATTTTAAAGAAGATCTAACTTATAGATTGAAAAATAATGCTCTAATCTACTTAGGTGTAGGTCATCTTTCTTCTCCAACCTCAAAGCAAAACTTCTAGCTCCAACATCTTGTTGTTGAATTGTAAAGTTTTTCTCAAAATTTGCAAGAATATAAAAAAATTAGTGAAATATCAGAAAAAAAGAAATTAATCTAATCCAACTCGGAATTTTTTAAAAATATGAGGAACTCTCACTAACCTTAAAAACCCAATTTTGAGATCTTAGTTCACTTAAATTTTGCTTATGTTTGTTTTTTTTAAGATGGCAATCTCCTACATCTCTTCTATTTACAATATCTATATATATATACATACTATATATATTACAAGCAAAAATTAACATTAAGAGTAGTGATATTATAAACATGAGTTTATAGAACAACCTCCAAATTCAACTTACAAATAAAAACCATTTTGTGGTTTATCATTTGTAAGAGTTGGATTTGGATAAATAACACCAATTTTTTTATATAAATATTCAAATCTTTCATGAGCATAGCATGTACCATAAAAGCTATATTACATGGTATAAATATTACATTATGATGTAAGAAACTTGGATTTGATTCTTTAGGATGATGGTGGGTTTTGACCTTTTTAGTATATTGAATTTATTTTGCTACATCGTATAGTTATAATAACATTGGCTACTTCACTGACCTTAATTAATTATTTTTCTTTCTATAGATTTTACTTTGGTTTGAGCTACTCATCTATTATTAGGCTATCTTGGAGATTATACTTTCATTTACACTATTCATCTTCCTTAAAATAGATTTTCAATTAAAAAGGTACAATAGGAATTATTACACTTTATTACACAATTATTACACAATCATATGTACAATGGTGCCAAATTTTCTTCTTCTCTGATTCCTAGTCTTTGATGCCTAGTTTGGGGGTGTACTTTCTATAGCCAGAAGTTATAAAAGACAACTTTGAACTATTCTAGTGGGGCTTGTAAATAAATGGTGCAAAAGATCTATTGAAACAATTCACATTGGTGGTTTGGAGGAACATTACGTTCAAATTCTCCACATGAAATTACTTGAAAGTAACTGCTTCCACAGCCTTGGCAGACTATCGGAGAGAAGTCATCAGAAAGTTGTTTCAGTGACGTTGCTCAGACATTCGGGTAGAGCAGCTGCATCTACATCCCAACAATCTGTTCCAGTCAAATCTGGATAATCCTGCTCGGTCAACTTATACGCAGGCACCTTATGAGAAAATCGATCGAAGTATGTAGGGGGCAATGCTCCTGGCTCGTAACCAGGCTCCCATAATGTTCGAAATCCTGGGCGCTTCCTGAGCACTACAATATCAGGTGCTCGCCACCTGCAGCATATTGATAAAATAACCGCTAGACCGAACTCAGGCTCTTCGTTTGCTATTCTCTGTCTGTCATGCTCCAAGCGAGATGGCTTTGAGTCTTGATTCTGATGAAGCGCCCAAATTTCTCCTACTTGAGGAAAGATTTCTATTACATTAGCACTCTTCAGGGTGTACTCCATCTTGTGCGAAAAGCAATTTAAAGTCTTCACAATCGTAGTTTCCTCCAGTTTTTCAAAATACCCACTACTTCTTGGGTACCCTATATTCTGTGAAAGCGTAAATGCAAGGTTGCTTTTACTGGAACAGCTTTTCTCATGTCAACTGAATAAATCAAGAATTTCCATGGCAAGCATTTTACAAATAGATGAAAAAACCTCTTACTCGTTCACTTTTCTCTGACGACGAATTATGCGGGCGCATCAAGCTTGCCGTAACACGGAAGAGTCCATTTGTGTTCACTTCCTTCACTCGAATCAATGTACGTGGCATTGTATCGACTTCATCATACAGAGACCATATCTTGCATCGGAAACATACATGATTTCGACAGCCTTACCTAGGATCAAGCTACTAAACTTCGTCACTGTTCGTAAATGTCTGAAAAGAACATGTGTTGCAGAGGGGAATCAAAACAAGGACAAGTTGAATGCACCTGGTTTGGTTTGATATTTCCCTTGCTCCTGTCGTTGTCAAAGCAGTAGTAATCAGAATCAGGAACATCCCTTAACAATGCTTGATTTACATCTACCTGTTCCTGCTTTTTCATCGTGTACTTAACAAGGTGCGGCGAGTGTTCCTGACGATTACTTTGCTTAGGCCCTCCTACATGACTTGCTGCATGTTCCTTCAAAATGCGACCCTTGGAACCAGTATATCTAGACACAGGTTTGTCGGAGATTCTCTTCCCGTCGTTGCATACATTCACACCTGTCACAAAGAAACTGTCGAGGCCTGAACAAAAAAAAAATAGTAATATCAAGGAATGGAATAAGAGCGGAGCTCGTATTGGTTAACACGTGACTTCTTTTTTGCGCGTTTCGTCAGCTTGGGACGTAATTGAGATTTGGTGCGGGGAGGACTTCCACTCCTGCCAGATAATTTTTGCACTTCGGCTCCTTTATCTATTTTCACTTTATCACTCTTCAACCGTTTGGTCTGCATTTCAATTGTTGAGTCACACACTCGAGGCTCAAATACATTCTCATTCGCACTGCTGATACTTACGACATAGTCCCCTGGAGTGAAACCTGTCTTCACTTTGTTTGTTTAAGACTATGGATCATTTTCAGACGATTTTTTTTCTTTTTCTTTACCACCTCTGTGGTGTAAACTTGCCTCCGGTTCCTCAACCACATTCCAAGCTGAATCTTCTCGTGGCTGAAAACTGACGTTTCCTACACTTGGAGAATAGTTGTTATTGTGGTCCTGGTGTGATTGAAGCTACATTTAAGAATTGCTTCGTGGATTATCAAGCAAATCAATATCCCATTTCAACTTCTTGAATGAGGTGGGATTTTAAAGTGTTTTAAATCATTTAATAAATTTATACTCACCGCATAGGTATCTGTCTGTTGATTTTCGAATTGACACGGTCCTTCCTTCGTAGAGTCTTTACCATCTCTCCGCACTTCCCAAGAGGAGACATCATCTATAGCTTCTGATATACAGTTGTTCCATTGTTTTGATCTATTCAACACTCAGTACCAAAAAAGAACGCTGCATGTAAGTTTAGAATAGCATGTAATAGTAAAGTGTGATACAGTGTGATATTTGAACAAAAAGTTTTACACAAATCTCACGGAACATTACCCGAAAACTTGTATGCGAGCACAGCTTATATGAATTCGAGTACAGATTATTAAACTGAATCTAACATACCGGCTTTCATAGTAGAAATCACCGACAGGCTTCTCCTTGCGATGATTCCCACCATGCTTAACTGAATTCCACTGGGATCTATCCCCATCGGATTCAACAATAACAAGATTAGTAGCAGTATGCGGCCAAATACTGAAAATTTGTGAAACTAAAGAGTTATTTTATCAATGCTTGCAGCATATTTCGGAACTCTATTTCACTATTGCTAGACTCTTAACGGTTACCCTCAGTTATCAACTTTCCATAAAACTTTGAAGATGCTGGAAAATCCTAGTTTATGTAAGATCATGGAAGGAATATTGAAGGATTCTTTAATCAAGCATGCCTGCTTCCATACTTGAAAGTGCTTCCAGGCTTCTCGTAGCGATCGACGCTATAATCCTCAGTGCAATTAAGTGATTTCTGTTCGAATTGGAACTCGCTCTCCACCTTTACACAAGCATTTGTGCTTGCTGACACACATACCCGTGCATCTGGTCTGTTTTTGTAACTTGAAAACTCATCTACGGGTGTTGAAACATGTTCTTGCAATAGTGGTTCATTTAGTTTGCTAAATCTTCCTTCATCATCGGTTGGAGCATCAAGATGACCGTCCCTTTCCATCTGCTTCCTTAATCCAATTTGCCAACTAGCATCTTCTACATCTAGCTTCGATCTATTGTGCTCTTCTTTCACTTTCGACACATTCACGTTGGGTAATTCTCTGTCGTCTGGCTGGGAGAAGAGCTTCCAGTCTTCGGAACAGTCAACCATAATCCTCGGTTTATGAACATATGTCATCCTGTCTCGAGCAAGTCCTGGACTTACTGATCCAACCGTAATTCCTATTTCGAATTTATCTGAGATTCCTTCCATAGGACTTGTAGTTCTTTGGTCCGGCAATTCTTCTTCGTAATTTCTGTGATTGTCCTCGTCTTCGTCATCAGTGAGCACGATGATTCCTTCTCGCAGTTGATTTTCATTGTCATGCCTGTTTGCACCTGCAGGTCCAGTGCTTCCATTATCCGCTTGTTCAGTTGGCTGTCGACGAGGAGTTGCCTTCCAATCATTTACATCAGAGGTCTCCATTACTAGTTTCCTTGATTCATTCACAATGACCTCCTTGTCACAAGTCGTTGCCTTCTGTAGGCTTTTGTGCAATGCAGATGGAGAAGACCTGCTTATTAAGGAAGGGAGCTCAAAATTCATTCTTCTAATTGTCGAGCAGAGTTGTGTCAGCCTCTGCACTTCAGGCTGTACCTGCCCTAGTCTGCTTTCAGAGGGTGCGGATTTCCAGAATTTGGAGGTTTGGACGACCTCTTCAGACCAGGAGCCCAGACCTCGTGATGACACGCTCTGATCTCCAGAGTGTTCAAATTCGATGAATGAGTGGGGTTACTAAAACCAGAGACAGGCTCGTGGCTCGCATTGGTATGTCGAAATTCGGATTCACAGACAAAACTGTCCAATCCTTCACATATTCTCTCTCTTCCTAGTGGTACGTGTGCAATGCAAATTCTCTTGGCTGTCTCAGGAGTTGAGAACTGCATAGCCAGTTGACGAGACTTTTTGTTCTAGTGCTTCGCCAAAAGCTTCTGCGTACAACACAACTAGTCGGGTAGTTTATTGTGAGTGGAAATTCCCATTTCTTCTATAAGTAGCACACTCCCTGTTCTCACAGATGGCTGGTACTATAACTGCGTAGCAGACATTTACTGCTTTCGTATATGAGCTAAGGTGTTCCTTCCTCCACATCCCATAATCAACTTTAAAACCAAAACCTATCTGGCCACTCTTTGTGCAGGGAAACTTAAGGTATTCCGTACCCATTGAGAATGGGAATTGTTTATAAGCAGCACAACATACCTGTGGCTTAAGAGTTGAGTCCATCAAAGCTTCTAGAAACCTCGGAACTAGTGCCATTGCGTTGTTATCTAAATGCAGTTTTAGATTTACCCTTGGTTCGTCATATCTTACACCAATAGTAGTCCTCCAAGACAACTGCTACGGCAGACATCATAAAAAAGATGTTGAATCCTCTCAAACAGGACAACTGATTAGTCTCCTCTGCCAACTCGGTGGGAGACACGTTTTAACCTCATATCGCATATGATTTTTGTGCAAAGGAAAAATAAAGTACAGTATGTTAAAAAAAATTACGTATATTTCCAGCTCAAAAAAATTCTATTACAGCCACGTGATCCAAAAAATGACGAGGAAGCTGCGTGCGCAACGGAAAACCAGATGCAGACAGATTAGTGAGGGAAAATGAGGGAGATTTATACCCGCATCGACCCACTTTGAAGTGACGTAAATGAATATCTTCCTTTGGAGCCAGACATATCTTCCTCCAAATATTGGCGCAAATGAATGAAATACTCTTCGATTTGAACATCCCACCTACATGCTCTTCCTTCAGCATCCTTTTGACTCACTACTAGTTTTCTCATACACAATTCACACACAGATCAATCGTCAGGAGTACGGAACTTGTTGCTGGCATGACTCGGACTAAAACTAATCCTCAAGCTTCGCATGCCTCTGTCAGTCCCTTGTGCACTAGCAGTGACCCATTCCTTCCGAATTAGCCAAATACTTTAATGTTGATGAATGAAAGGGGAATTGGAAGCACTTATCGTTGCATGACCAAGAATGTGGGAATTCCAGAGCTGTGACACAGACGCTGGCATTAAACCACTTGCATCGAACAAAAATATGACGTCCAACTACTAAAGTGAGCCTCGTACAGGTCACAGTATGAGTCTCGCCAGGGTGCTCTACCATGGCTATCAATGAAGCGTCACGCACTCCCTGAGTGGACCATCATCGTCAGCGAATTAACAAGTATTCGACAATCAATCAAATACAAGAAGGTTGCAACAGAGATATATCAACGAAAGAAGAGAATAAAATCATATAACAGACACGCTTAGTTTGCAATGATATACCGCGAGTGGAATCCGTGCGATACGGCAAGGGAAAAAGAGCGAACAAGTACAAATTCACATAATCCTCAAGAACGCGAACATGAAGATCGCCCTATTCCAAACAAGGACACGGATAACTTGCTTAAGAAAACTGTTGAAAACATGCTCTCCAGCTAGGAAGAGCTGGCCACTTGAGTGTTTTAGATACACGATCAATTCATTTAAGCAAACAATGGTCAAGATGCTTAACTGAACGATACAAGGTTGTTAGGACACACACTCCTTTAAAACCTGCACGCACCTTTGTGCATCTTTTATGCACTCTCTGATCCTTACGTGATAAACACAAAGTTCTCTTCTTGTAACATTCGTGTGAGAAGAGGTCGAAGCATCTGAGTCTTTTTATTTATTCTCAATAAAAACCAGATCTACATACAGAACACGAAGTGGCCGTGGGCTGCAAGCGCGAGTCCAGCTCGTCAAAAGGTTCCTGGTGCTCCTGCAGCCAAACACAAAAAGGTACGGCACTCACAAAATGCATAATCAATAATGCTTTCGAGAGTTGGAGAATAGAAAACGAGCCTTGAGTGTCGTCTTCTCCGTCGCCTGATGACAGACAGAGGCCAGTGAAGCGGCACGAGCAAGGAAGGATAGCAATGAAGGAGAGGCTATGGAGCAGTGGAGCAATTGAGCCATGCAAAGAAATGATATCTACGACGACGACGCACCACTGCGGCTCGTTTGGATCTTGTGGCGCCGGACTTGACTCCTCGCGGGTGTAGCCTATGGCCGTGCGCGGTTGTGATTCCGACTCCCATTTCGATTTCCACGTCGGAATTTTCGTTTTCACATCATGAACGGGGAATGTTTGAAGTCATTCACCGATTCCATCCAATTGGTTGAAAAATCATCCAAAATGCTTGGAGCTACTCGGTGAAATGAATGTACATAAATTTGTTAGATCTCACAGAACCGTTTTTATTGACTTTCAACATCTTCTACTGTCAAAAAAAATTGGTTAATTTGATACTAGGTGATTGTTTTTTACCAAATTAATAAATCCTTCTGAAAAATTTATCTATTATTGTCATTAAAATAAGACATTTAGAAGAAAATATTATTTTCTAATAAGCATAAAAACAACCATAGATGAGTTCTATCTTTTACATAATATTAAATATCATATATCAATCCTATATTTTATATAATATTTTACATAATATAAATTATTTTAAAATGGATAAATCTTTATTTTTTTATTAATAATATTCCATATAAGGACAAAAAGACCACCCACTTATTTAATCATTTTTTAGGCCCTTATAACTAACTATCTTCAACCAACTAATCTTTGATTCCATCAAGTTTAGTAGCTTCCTCTACTAGTATCAATAAACATCAATTATTTCTTCTAAAATTGTAGTACCATACATATTATATCTTACTATCTATTTGAAGAAGGATATGTCTCCTTTGACAATCATTACTTCCATTCCAATATTATGAAGGTTAAAACAATCTAAGTTCTTTATTTATTGTAAAATTGTTTAATGAAGTATTTAGGTTGTTTCAATCTTTATAATATTGGAAATAAAATCAAGGTTCTTAAAATAAATTTATTGCTTGTTGATTCTCCATATTATAAAAGTTGATTCTTGCAACATGTTATATTATATAAGTTGATTCTTGATCTTATTTCTTCTTTATTTAAACTATCTTATTGCATATAATTGGTTTTTAGTTTTGATGGATGTTGTTGATAAGAAACAAAAATAAGTTATAAAAAATTTGCAAAATTTTGACATACCTTTCACATGGATTTGAAAATATTACACTTGGATCTTAGTTTAATTTTGTAACCTCTAGAATCTAAGACTTCTTCTACTTCGAATTCTTAATTGTAATCTATTTCAATAGGTGGTGGTGGTAATTGCTTTCTTTCTAGTTTGTCAATTGTATTATAAAGCTTAAGAAGAGACACATGGAATATAAAATGAATCTTTATTGATTGCAATTGACATAAAATTAGATTAATTTACAAACTCTACTATTGATAAAAAAATTAAAAAAAATTGTCGAAATTTTGAAAATGAGACATATAGCAACATCAAAGTACAAAAAAATATTTAATCTAATTTCTAAAATATAGATGTAAAATATATAAAAAATTATACATAAATGCATTCTAAAATTGTGTATTGAAAAGATGGGATATGACTTGACTAGTAAAAGAAGTACTTCTAAAGGACATGAATTCAACTAAAACTTTGAAAAGAAAATAGAAAAACTTATATCATCTTATTTTGTTTTTATTCCCCTAATTAATGCAATGGATGCATCACATTTCTGTCATATATATATATATATATATATATACATATTATTGATTGCTAATATTTGGTACATACTTGTAGAACCCTTGATACCCAACCTCAAACTCAATTCACCATCAATGCCATAAGTGATATTTTTAGGTAGTACAGCACTCGTCTATATATTCCTTTAGAATTGCAAAGGGGTAGCACCTTCTTCTTCTCCGTATTTTATTCTCTTCTGTATCAAGATACACATGTGTATATATATATATATATATATGTATAATCTATGCATTCGAAAAAGGAAACAAAAACAAAAAGAACAACTGGCCCTTCATGGCATCACCCAACAGTAGCAACAACAGCAACTGGGCTGAGGTCGACGCAGGGAGGTTGCATCGATCGCTACAGTGTGTGCACCGCAAATGAGTCCCCGAGGGAATCTGTGCGGAGTCCGGTTTCTCGCTGCGAATGATTGGAGTTGCTGATCTGCGGGGGATCACAACAACAAGACAAGAGCGGTGGCAGGGATCGTGGCATACCCTAGTGCTGCTTCTACGGAGCCGCAATCAATCAATCAATCGCTGATGAGAAAAAGAAGAAAAACAAATCACAAAAAACTAAAACAAAAAAACAACGGATTCCTGAGTTTAAGCTTTCCCCTGCGGAAGTTCGAGAAGCATTCGAGAATGCATCATGACTTTGACTGGTGCCGCATAAAAATAGTCGTGCCGCAAGTTGGGTGCCGAGACCCTTCCGTGGAATACTGATTCAGCGGCCTGGGACTTCAGCCCGCGTGACCAGGTATGACTAATGGGAGAGCTTCCCAAGTCGCAAGGCAAATCGTGGGGGTTTGTCGCTGACAGAAGCATCTTCGATTGCCTATGATCGACATAAATCTAACCTGCAGACGGCGACGACGACGACGACTTCAAGGTCTTGCTATCTTTCACCTGCTACCTGCCCCTCCGAGCCCCCCCGATTGGCCCCAAGTCTGCTGATTTATCTGGTTCCTTGATGAAGTAGGAAGCAAATTGTTGAAGTAATGTGGATCGTTAGTTGTGAGCCAGGCTGGAGGTTCTTTATTTTGATTCTAGAAGGACGCTGCTGAATGAATCTGTGTCGGGGTGCATCAGGCATTTGGTCGGGACTCTACTAATGGATGTAGATTGCGGAAACAACTCAGACAGAAGTTGTATAATTAGAAAAAGGAGGATAAATTTGGGGGGGGGGATTTGGCTGCACAGGGCAATTTGTGTCAGAGTAGCTGCGCCGCTGATGCTCCTACGTTCCAATACGCCCGTCTAAAACGCCGAAGTGAAGGACAGGGTGGGATTCGGTCTAGAAGACGAGAAGCTGGCTCATCTCTCCGTCGAGAAGCCGCACCACTTAACTGGATTGACAGACTGCACTAGTCTTCCTCGCAGAAGCGACATTGTTCGGCTTGTGTAATAGCTTCTGGTAGAATCGATTCATTACTTGCAGTACCACTTTGTCTCAGATACGGTTCTTCACTATCAACACAGTGGTCGCGTGTTCAGAGGACCTTCCAAAGTAGCGGTTTTGGTATCTCGTACGTGTTCTCTCGACCAAGTCGTCCTGGTTTGAAAATTTGGTGATTCTGATGCAGCAAACCAGTATCCCTGGTGCGAGTAGACTTGGTCCAAAGGTCTGGCAGCCTCGAAGTGTGCATTAGTATATATGTTGGATTTTCGATAGACGTAGGCGCTGGTTTGGAACTCCAGCTATGAAGTTGGCCAAGTGGTGGTTTTATGGCTGTTGAAGGAGTTCCAACTGTGAGGGATTTCCAGAATTCCAGAGGTAGTGTTCAGTAGGATACATGAATACATCTTAGACACTGTTGTAGGCGTAAGTGTTGAAGAAATTCTGATCAATGTGGTGGGTGCTAAGTACAAAGTTCAGTGTATCGGTTGGTTGTCACGAGTCAACAGAAATGAAGGATTTCATGTACCGAGCAATCACTGCTTGATTCATGTTCAACAGTCGCTACCAACAGAGTAACGACGAAGCAACAAGAGAGAAGATTCCTCCAGGTTAGTCATTGCAGCCAACTTCGTCATGATCGCGGCACTGAAATTTTCACATCGCTGGGTTTGTGTCTTTTATCTCTACTGTCATCTGTTATTTCCTACCGACTTGACCCGTAACATAATGATTCGGTGGTCTCATTTTATTAATTGAGCCGCACAGAAGGTGAAAACCATTGTGACCACTTTTAGCACAGAGCCGTTACGTAGTATCCGATTGTTCTTGAGGTCCTTCAAGATTTTACTCTTAAGATTTTTCGGCATTCACCAGTTAAACCTTTCAAATGAACATCCCTTGATAGAAACTGAACTTAGGCATGTTTATTTGTTACAGTTTTCTTAACGGTTGGTGATCACAGCTGGGAGGGTCCAGAAAAATTCAACTCCCCTCTTGTAACACTAATCTAGTGTAATTTTGAAGAACTGGATGTTTAGACGCGTAACGAATCTTTTACAGAGTTGCGAAGACTTTGTTGTTGAAAATCGCTAGCTCAATTTTGGGCTTTCCTTCGAAGTAAAAGTTTTTAGAGATAAAAGTCAATCATTGTACATTCGCGTTGATGAATAGAGACATATCTACTTTTAGAAATGCACTTCAGATTGTGATGATTTAAACTAAGAATACTGTTCAATCTTCCTGATTTGATAGATTCGTGTGGTAATGATCTAACTTTAACAAGATTTTAATTAATGCAGGTACACAGTTTAGTGTTTGCTAATTGATCAGTTGGGCATCTGTTGTTCTTCACGTACCCTGGCACTATTTTCAATATGGCAGAGATCACACACTATAGACCCCATTCAGACACAAATACAGTTAAGTTTGCTACAGTCCCTGATCTTCAAACATACTTAGGGATCTCATCTTGGTTGGAGCTTAATCAACACTGGAGATTAGGCGATGCTACAAAATTCTTCAAGGTCGCAGAACACGAGGGGCAAAATTCGATGTCGTCCGCCGTCGATTCGAAGAGGCTTGATTCCGGAAAGTCGGGGAATCAGCACAGTACCGCTCTTGCAATGTCCAAGGAGCCCACCTCGGTGCTTGATCTGCCATCAAGCTGTTCAGTTTCGTTATCCTCACAGCACAGCATGAATTCAGTCAGCGACGGCATTAGTAAAGCTCTCCAAACCGTCGCGGACCAGTTACTGAGCGATGAACAAGATTCTGCTCATCCTATGCAAAGCGCCACACCTGAAACGAGCAACATGCTAATGGATCAAGATGTCATGACATGGATGAGCCTTACGAGAGGCTCGGACCACTCGGCTTCAGATATGGATCCAGTCCCAGATTGGTTTCATAAGCAACCGGAAAGACTGGATTTGAACGCTCAACAATACTACTGTTCAAAAACGGGTCTAGATTTTCACAAAAATCCCGGAACAATGGAGAGGATTTGCAACAACTTACCTTCCAGCCATCATCATTACGTCGCGCAGCCGTTTAAGCTCATTTCCCAAGCACAATTAACGATGTCGGAGACGGCAGGAAATCAGCAAACGGGTTTCTTCGACACAAGTACTTCATCAAATCAAAGGGCCTTCCAGCAATGCAGGAACGTAAAAGCCCAGGGAGCGACGCTGATGTCCATGATCGATGGCACAGGCGCTATCACAGGATCGCAGCTTCTAAACAGCACCGTAGTACCTACCCCCGAACTTTGGAAGCTCTTAAGCTCTCAGCACGACGCTTCACCTCAATGCGGGAATCAAGGCCCTCCTAACAAGCAGGCACCAATTACTCAGGCTAGAGATCAGCAAAACCGGAGTACATCACTGGCAATACCCACGCAGCAACCTCAGCCACAACTGCCTTACCATTTCGGGCAGACGCTTTACCCTGGAGTTACACCGCAAGATCAAGAGACTGGAATACACATGGTACACCTCTTGTTGGCGTGTGCTGAAGCTGTAGATATGTGCCAGAGCGCCACAGCGGGGCCAATGCTGGCCAGGTTGAGATCCATCTATGATCCCGAGGGAGAACCAATGCGACGAATTGCGCTTTATTTTGCCGAAGCTCTCTTCGAACGATTGACAATCGAGATGAATCGTAAGCAATCATCCCATCACGGTAGTTGCGTCAGATTCCCCGAACCAGAGGTAGATTCAGCAGCTTCCCCTAGCCTTGAATGTGATATTGCTTACCAGGCGTACTACCAAATTCTTCCTTTCAAGAAATTCACGCACTTGACTGCTAATCAAGCCTTGCTTGAGGGTGTGGCGAACTACCCTCGCGTGCACATTATCGATTTTAATATCCGACAAGGGTTGCAGTGGCCATCGTTTATTCAGTCTCTCGCAATGTTACCCCGTGGTCCTCCCCAGCTCAAATTCACAGCGGTGCAGACCGATGCAGCCACTGTCCAGAAGACGGGTAACCGACTGGCTGAGTTTGCACGAACAATGCACGTACCTTTCGAATTTTACATCCTAGAGGAGAGTGTAGAAAGCTTTCATCAAGGGATGATCTCCCCAAGGGCAGAGGAGGCACTTGCAGTGAACTGCTCTGATATGTTGCACAGGCTGTTGCGAAAGGAGGGCAAGCTGACCGAACTCCTCGGCAAGATCCGCAGCCTCCAACCTGTGGTGGTGACCGTCCTCGAGGTGGACGCCAACCACAATGAGCCATCGTTCATGCCTCGCTTCGTTCACGCCCTTCACTACTACTGCGCTGTGTTCGATTCCTTGGAGGCGGCACTCCTCAGAAACAGCTTGGATCGACTTCGCATTGAGAATCACTGCTTTAGCACCCAGATCAGGAGCATCATTGCTCTGGAGGACGTAGATCGCGAGATCCGCCACGTGAGAGCAGAGACCTGGCAGTCGCACTTCCTTCAAGCTGGGTTCCGAGCAGTGACTGTGAGCAGGTACGCCGCCGACCAAGCTCAACTTCTGCTCGGCCTGTACAAACCCTCGGACCGAATGCCTTTCACATTGTCATCGGGATTTGGCGGATTGAGCCTCGGGTGGAGAGAGACTCCAGTGGTGGCCGTCTCCTCGTGGACTTTCTCACCGCCACCGTACTAGTGTTCACGTCGGCGATTCTGTACACTTCGCTCAGCTCCCCTTCGGTACTGGCAACATTGTGACATATTTGTGACATTTTTCATACCAAAACGACGTCTGGTTCAGTTCTTTCACTATTTACACCCAATTCTTCCATTCACGCTTTACAGTTCGGTGGCACTTCGCAAGCTCCTCCCCTAGACAGTCAACTGCGCTATGACTCACACCAAGGGTTTGGTACAGGAGTGATGAAACCAGTCTCTAGGAAAATCTAGACACTGCGGAACAAACAACGTAGGAACGAAAATGAAACTTGACAAATTCTGCAACTGATGTCCTGGCCACTGCGGCAAGATCAAGTGTTACCAGAAAGCGGCCAGCAATAAAACCTAAGTCTAAAACTTGAATTGCGTTGTGCATATTCGTGAATTTTCATGTTTAGAAATGGACTTAAACCAGGTAGGGACTTGCTCAGATCTATGGACGAAACTCCTTTGGAGCAGACGCAGAGAGTGCATACATTTCAAGACTGCTCAATACATTTTCTAAAGAGAGTTACAGGCTGGGTTTGCAAACATAGCCTGAGAGCATAACGACCATATGCCAATATGCTTTCACATTTGCTATGTGGTCTTGTGCTACAGTCTCTCAACTTCGCTATTATCTAAACCAACTTTGAAGAGTGTGAAAAATGGGTGTTTTTCAAGCTTGGGTGCTGTGAAGTTACCCCCATACAAGTAAGAATGGCATTGTTAACTGTGTAATATTTGAAGGATGTTGTGTTGAGAAGTTGCAGCTTCTACAGTAATAGCAATTGGAGATGTGAGTGTTGTTGTGATGCCTTGTATTTAGTAAAAACATATTGCTGTAATGTGAGAGTGAGCCATATTGATTGGTAGTATGGTTGATTTTGTAAACTTTAAATAAGTTTGTTGTTCCAATCTACAATCTATCATAGAATGAGCTTTTGGTATTATAAGATACATCAATAAAAATCTTGCAAAGAACTTTATTCAACATTCTGAATCTCCAATAAGTGCACCTATATTTTTTATGAGGAAAAAAGATAGATCTTTGCAAATGTGTGTTGATTATTGTGATCTCAATAAAATAACAGTGAAGAATCTTTATCCATTACCATTGATATTAAGGCTTTTAGAGCAACTTGATTAAGTCAAGATTTACATCAGAATAGATATCTATGAAGCATACAATTTGGTATGGATTAAAAAAAAGATGAATAAAAGATAATATTTTGGATAAGGTATAAACATTTTGAATATAATGTCATACCTTTTGGATTGACAAATGTTCCAGTTATATTCCAATATTTGATAAATGATAGTTTTCAAGAATTCATGGATAAGTTTGTTGTCTGCTATCTTGATGATATCTAAATCTACTCCAAGTCTATTGAAGAATATGAAGAACATGTAAGATTAGTCTTGCAAAAATTACAAAATATAAGATTATATGCCAAATTTAAAAAATATATATTCTATTAGTCAAAAATAGAATTTCTTGAATATATTATATCCAATGAAGATCTATTGATAGATCCAAAGAAAATTCAAGTTGTAACAAAGTGGACAACTTAAAAGACAGTACAAGATGTATATTATTTCCTTGGATTTATTAATTTCTACCAAATATTTATCAAGAATTACTTCCAAATTGATGCTCCTTTTACTTGGTTGATATCAAAAGATAAATTGAAATAGAGGCCTCAAGTACAAAATACTTTTTAAGATTTGAAGGCTACTTTTCCTAGAGCTTCATTTTTAATACATCTTAATTTTATAAAAGCTTTCTATTTGGAGATTGATGCTTCTAATTTTGTATTATGAGTTGTATTATCATAGATGGAAAAAGATAGAAATCTCTATCCAACTACGTTCTATTCCAAAAAAAAAATTAATTATAAAAATTAATTATAAAAATTAATTATGAGCTTTATGATTGTGATTGCTCGTTTTACTTATTCCAAATTAATCTAATGGGAATAAACCTATATAGGAGGATTCGAATACGGGGAATGACTAATTGCTTAAGCATTCACATTAGGGTCACACAATCAATTACCTCCTGAATGTATCGTCTCTATTTCTAATATCTGAACACACAAAGAAACTATAATTTCTTCCTTCATCTTATCGGTCTCTTCCTTACAACAATTCAATCATACCAATAACTACTATTTCCACCAATATATTCACCCTCATAATCTCTAACTATAATACTACACCTTCACAGCTTTCAGCACACAATTACCCTCATTCTAATCACTGGAATTCTTCACACAGAACTGCCATTCACATTACGGTGTTTCACACAAACACAAACTCATTCTCTCTACTGAACTACAATCAGATTTCAGCATTCAATCTTTCTTCTTCTCAAATAATATCAATCACATTTCCATTCCATAATTCACTTCACAATATTCAGAAACTCTCAATCCTCTTATTTAAAGAAAATAACAAACAAAAGAAAAGAGGTAGCACCAAGCTTATCCCGGCTCAGTACTATCGCAGTTTGGCACCTTAATTAACTTCTACAACTCCTATATACTTTCCCCTGATTCTCCAGATTCTAACCATAATTCTGTAATTAACCACTTTTAATAACTAAATCACTCATTCGTCCTCCTAAATTTTCTATTATATGGACTATTAATATATTTTACCAATATCTTTCAAAAATGAATTAATATCTATTCTACATAGTCCCACTCCTATCTGTGCAGCGTCCTCGCAAACACTCAATTGATACCTATTTAAAAATTATCTAACAAAACTCTACAAAAATTGCGATCTCTTTGGCCTCTCTAATTAATCAATTACTGCAGTATCTATTATTGGTTCCATCGATTCCGGTTCCAACTGCAAATCTTCATCCTCCTCCAATCCTTCCATCGGCTCTTGCCTCAACTGAGGTGAAAGGTCTTCATTGTACTCACCCAGTTCACGGACTTGAGCTTCCAATTTCAGGATCTGGGCATCTTTCAATTCCAACTGGTGCTAAAAGTGACTCCTTTCTTCTGGAACTTCGGGAACTGACAACATCGATACATGTATTTGACCAATATTGACTAAATCCTCTACCAATCTTGTCACCTCGACGTTCAAGGCCTCAATTTTAGCCCTTAACCGCTTAGTTTCACATCTATATTGGTCACTCAATACAAATTTCTCTTGCGCCAATAACTCGGCCTTTTCTGGTTCCATTATCAACTGACCCTTCACTTTTTTCAATTCCAAAATTGAATGATTGCGAGCCCAGAATAGTTCTTGCTTGTGGGTCTCCACCATGCGTTCTCTTTCTTTGTCCCAAGCTTCCTGTTGTTCCCCAATTTTTTGCTCCAATAGCAGCTTGGATTCCGCATTCGCCTGGATGATCCGTTCTTACTCTTCAATTCTTCGGGTCTGCTCCGATATCACCTTTTTGCTTGCCTCTAATTCATGTTTACCACTGCCCTCTACATCCAATGCTCGTATCATGCAATGTATTTGTGAAATGCACTTCAATAGAGCATTTTTAAGATGTACGCCTTTCGGTAGTCGGCCTTGTGGAAACGCTAACTGATTGGTATCTAACAACGTCGGGACTTCATTCTCCTCCTCCACCACCGAATGAATCGGATCCATTTCCGGTGCCACTGGATGACTGAATTCTCCAATTTCATGTATTACCTCCGTTGTATTGACATTCTTTGCCAACGAATTTTGTTCTCGCTACGGAGGCACTGGCATTGGTTCAGAACTTCCCTCTACTAGCGATGTTTACAATAATGTATACGCGATCACAGCATACACATAATTGGAACATAGCAATGCTGTAAATTTCCCTATTTTGCGCTTAGCTCCCATTTTTGCATGAATATGGGTTGCTACATAAGCTGCCCAATTGAACACCATCCCTTCAAACGTTCCTACTGCTACAAACATTAATCGTCTTGACATATATGTATTGTGTCAATACAACCCCAGATGCCTCAACACGAAGCGCAACCATTCCATGAGCTCTGGTGTAATTTCCTCAGCCGTCCGCCAACCTTGGTTCTTCTCAAACGATGACATGCCACCTTTGAAATAACTTCCCGGTCGGAAGTCACTAGACTCCTCAGCACCCACCGCAATCTCTCCAATTGGAAGAAATAGTATTTTTTTGAGGATCTTCTCATCAATATTGATAACGTGCACTTGTACTACGCTCGATCCATCTTGTGGGTCATAGTTCGTGATGTATTCTTCCACTAATGTCACATTAATTGAAGGCAAACTATCTGACCTTTGCAAAAATTGAAACATTTGCGCGTTTCAAAAATCTCGTATTCTCCTTGGCGTCCAACAAATCTCCAACTTCATAGGCTCCATATTGGTAACGATTACTACGGATGGTGGTCCTAAATTGCGTTTAGCTTTCACATTTCGGCCACTTTCTTCTCTGTCCGTAGCTCTCTTTGTACTCTCAATCACCATGATGCATACTCTTTTAAACTCTAACCATCAATACACCTGAAATTGTAACACTGAAAAGAAACAATAACAGAATGCGACACCTAAGAATAACCGTAAATGGGTGCCCCACTCCTATTCTTTTACCTAGTGGTGATAACAACAACATGTTACCCATACTGTCTGTTTCTCACCTCCGTTCCATCTGACACATTAGTAATTACTAACTATCCTTTTAACCGCCTCTACACCCTAACGCACTTAATTAGGTCTATCCTAAGTACATTCAACGTAATCTCCTCTAGAAATTGAAAACCTGTCTTGGATTTTATGTATAATATAACCGTAATCGGTTCTCGTTAATGCGGGTACTGAATCGATGACCCATGAAATCTTCCAATTGAATAGACTCATTGGAAAACCCTTCAATCACATGATATGATCCATGCCAGCGAACTTGAAATTTGCCTGAAAAATGATTAAACCTGTTATCATACAATAATACCAAATCATTGGGCATAAAACTCTTCAGACGCAATTTACTATCATAGTAACTCTTCCTCCGTTTTTGAGTTGTTTCCATGTTGAAGAGAGCTGTAGCTCGTATTTCATCCAATTTGTCCAACTCTACCAACCAATATTAGAGTGATTCCTTATCTCCAAGACGTTCATCCAATGCAATGCGCAAACTAAAAAACTTTCAATTCAATTAGTAATATTGCTTCTTGTTCGTACACCAATTGGAATGGTGTCAAATTGGTAGTCACTTTATATGCAGTACGATATGCCCACAATGCCGCAAATAATTTAGTATTCCAATCTGTAGTAAAGATCGTCTTGAGTTGGTCTTCCTTTGCAATTTGAACCTGATTATACCCAAAAAATCCATCTAGGAACAAATAACATTCATGACCTACTACAGCGTCCAATATACTATCCGTGAAGGGCAATGGGAAGTAATCTTTTTTGGTGGCTGCATTAAGTTTCCGAAAATCCTGACAAATTTGGATTTTTTTATTTTTTTTTGGCACCATCACGATTGGAAAAACCCACTCACTATTTGGTACTGGGTAAATAAAACCAACCGCAAGAAGCTTGTCCAATTCTTCCTTCACCATAAAGGAATATTTAGGATTAAGGCGATATTGCCTCTACCGGACTGATTTAGCGTTCTCCTCTAAAATGATACCATGCTCACAGAATTCAATGAGA